CTCCCCCTGAACCCCTGGCAGATTGTGGCTTTTGGTCGCCAGCTCGCTAACTAGGGTGGCAGTGAAGAATCCATGGCCGTGATTGAGAGAGTCTAACAGATGCGGCGGCTGTGAACGGCGGAGCCGCAGGCCCTGCTGGACACGAGCTGGGCTGGTTGGCAAGCTGCCCGGGGCGCTTCAGCCGTCAACGGAGGCTCCACAGTCGAGCAGGCAGAAGGGCCCGCTGAGGAGACACAATCGCAGTGCAACGACTCTGCGTTTTGCGGCGCGCAGGCGGTTGTGATGATCACACACGGGTGTTGGACCGATGCGCGAAAGATGCGCGGTGTCACGTTACCGGTTGCTGCCTGGGGCATATTATGTCGGGGAGTTCCTCGTTGGGCATGTGGGCTTGAGTAAGGAGGCGAGGGCATGACGGAGAGTTGGAGCTCGAGGAATTGACGCGGGCCATGATGTTGGCCGTGGACACGTCCGACCACATTAGCCAGGCAGCAGCTCGCGTGTTCTTGGCTCAGAAGAGGCGAAGTTGTGATGAAGGAAGGCGCGAGACAATCATGTTGCCGCCAACGGAGCTGCAGTTGCCAATGCCCACGCCTGCGGGAAGAGATCTTTCCAATGCTTCATGTGCGCGCCGGTTTTTGGTGCTGCAAGTGTCTCACAAAAGCATTGGAATTCACGCAGGAAGCTTTCTGCACAATTGATGAGCCTCAGGGCTCCATGAGTGCTCTAACCATTCGATCTTCAACCAGCGCCTCCTGTAGTATCAGTTGTCTACAGGTCCTGCGAGGCCGCCATATCATGTAGGGTATTCAAGATGAGCGTCGCAGGCCGATTGATAACCTGACCGGGGTCTCCACTGACGAAAAGGCCCACGGGGCACAAGCTGCCCCTCCATTGGAACTCGCTTCAATGCCCGTGGAGTCTGTCGGAGCGCTCGCTTTTTAGTGGAGGGCGCAGGACCCTCGGGCGGGGAGTCTCCAGCGGACACAGAGATTGAATTGCGAGGTGCGCTGCGGGCCTCGGCGAGCGGTTGAGCAGGTGGGCGGGCGGCTCCTGCCCAACTTCGAGGGGCCCGGGCCTCGACGCAAATGCAATGCGGCGTCACCTGCAGCGTCACGAATTGCAATGGCCCGAATAAGGCAAGAGACACCACGGTCGCTGCTTCTCTACTTTTGCTCAGTCTTTCGTTAGCCCAACCGCACAAAAATGCCGAACGGGATTTGATGATGTCGTCTTCAACCTCTCCTCGGAACCGCATTTCCGCCCCGTCCAAGCACAGCAGGGCACAGCACAGGCTTCCCACGATTTACTTCCGACGGCGCACTCCTAGATCCGAGGTGGACCCCCCGCATGCCGAGGCAGCGGCATTGGACGTGGAGGCGCACACCCACGCACACCGGCCAGCCCCAGCGCACCGGACAGCTGCAGTCTCCCGCTCGTCGGCGCCGCCATGCGGCTGCGGATTCCCAATCGAGACTGCCATTTGCGACCTTGCTTTCTTTTCCACGGCCCGTCCTCCTGAGCTGCGCTGCTTTGCTTCGCTCTGCTCTGCAGTCACCGACGCTCGCAACGGCACTCGCCAGCTCTCCGCCAGCTCCTCCACAGCTCCCCTACAGCTCGTCCATGTGCCGAGCGCTGCTGCTTGTGACGCCGCCTCGCCCAACAAGCTCCCCGCCGCTGCCAATATCGCTGTCCAGTCCCAGCCGGGCCGTTGACTCTCTTGCCCTGACAGGCGCCCAACAGCTACCTACCGAGCATTATTAGCATTGGTGCAGTGCAGCTACCAGACACCAAGTGCATGCAAAGCACGACGTCTCGACCTCCATCTACAACGACATTCGACTCACATCCGCGGCCCGCGACACCCGCCACCATGGCTCCCGAACACGACTCCCAAGTCCTCACGACGCTGCCCTCGGGCGAGCCTATCGACTCGTCGGCGCCGCCGTCGCTCCCTCCTCCCAGCAAAAAAGCCCCTCTGGGCGCCCTGCTCGCCGCCGCCCCGTCCCACGCCGATGCCTTCATCTCCCACCTCTACCGCTGCATGCAGACCCGCGCCGGCGCCGACACCGTCCTGCTCTTCCTCTGCTACTCGACCCGCCTCACCGGCTCCGTCCTCGAGACCCTGAGCCGCCCCGTCCTGCAGCTCTCGGCCCGCCGCCTCGTCGCCCTGGCCTTTAAGCTGCCCCCCGCGACCACCGTCGTCCTGGCCTCGGCGAAGCCCCAGCCGCCGCTGGCCGCCTTTGCGCTTCGCCTCGGCGGATACTTCAAGGCTGCCGCCGCTCTCCTGAGCGAGACGCGCACCATGGGCCGCCTCTGGGGCCTGCTGGGCATCTACTTTGCCGCCAAGAGGCTGGTCCTCAAGTCGTGCGCCAAGAAGCAGGCTGAGGGCTCGGAAAAGGCGGTCGAGGCACAGGACGCGGGAGAGGCCCTCTTCGACACGCTCGTGGCCTACGCGCAGGTCATCTCCCTCATCGCCTACCAGGCCTGCGAGAACGTGGCCTACCTGTCCAGCAAAAAGGTGCTACCCTTTTCGCCCAAGACACAGGGCCGCCTGGCGTCCATCAGCGTGCGCTCCTGGGGTGCCTACGTCGGCATGGAGCTGGGCAGGCTCCTGGTCGAGCGCTCGCGCAAGATCAGCAGCGGCGCCGCGGCCAAGGACCCCAAGTGGGCGTCGTCGTGGACGACCGACTTTACGCGCAACCTGGCCTGGGCGCCGCTGACGGTGCACTGGAGCATGGAGAAGGGCCCGCTGCCGGACCTGGCCGTGTCGCTGCTGGCGGCGTACCCGTCCATCGGCGCCATGAAGGACCTCTGGCGCGAGACCGCCTGAGGGGGGGAACGACTCACTCGAGGGAGGGCCCCATTGGCGATGGGGTGAGAGCCGTGGCATGCGGCGCGAGGATATCAAAACGCTTGGACGGCTAGGGTCTCGTATACATCTTCCATTTGTTTTCGATCCTGGAGTGTGCTTGGAAGCCATTCGGAAGGGTCACTGTCCCACATGCGGATGGTAAGCGTTAGAGATGGGGTTGCGCACGGGGAAAGCATCGTTGGCCGCGCCGGCGAGCTACCTGTGGCGCACGACACGGGCCGCCAAGAGTATATGCGGTTCGCTGAGTATCGGTGAAGCAATCTATCTGCGTATCTGATTCATACGTGGCGGCGGTTGGCGCCGCGTGTATATATGGCCTCAGGTCTGGGCCTGGAAATTGATCTATCCAATTCATCAAGTGTGATGGCGCTATGTGGTATCAAATCTCGCACCTCGCCTCCCGATGCGCAACAGACGAAACACCATGGCTTCGAGTCCGTTCCATCCTTCCTTTACATGTGTATGTGCCCGCGATCTACATGCGCAGCCGCATAATCTCATCCTTTGTCCAATACCGCCTCATATTCTCCGCCCCCAGCGCGCGCACCTCCTCGTCGAGATGGGCCCACAGGACGGCGCCCCAGCCCTCCATCCTGTCGCGCAGCTTCGCGAGGTCGAACTCCTCGTCGCCGCGCTGGCAGCGGCGCAGGTAGGCCTCGAAGTCGTCGAGGCCGGCGTGGATGGCGGCGTGCTGCTCGACCATGGGGCCGGAGCGGGGGTCGAACTCGGGCATGCGGGCGGCGAGGCGGGGGAAGAAGTACGTCTCCTCGATGGAGTGGTGGGCGGAGAGGTGGGAGGCGAGGGAGAGGCCGGTGTAGAGGAGCTCGTCGGTGTCGACGGGTGTTGAGGAGGAGGAGGGGGATGGTGATGAGGTGCAGGCGGACCAGAGGATGGTCCAGGACTGGCGGAAGTAGTTGTGCTGCGATGAATGTCAGTTAGTTGTTGGTTTCATCGTGTATTTTGTAGGTATGGGGTATGGACGTGGTGGAAGTGTTGTGATAGGGAAGACGAAAGGAGAACTGGGAAACTCACAAACGAGTCCATGCGCTCGGCGAGCTGGTTGTATATCCGAAAGTCGTGGTCCGACAGCGGCGGGAGGTCCTCCTCTGCCTTGGTCGTCGCCGTCATTGACGGTTCCGCCGGCTTCTGCGCCTCAGCGGCGGCGGCTCTAGGATCCTCTGCGGCCTGGCCCATGGCGAAGACGGCCTGCTGAGAGCTGGAGTGCTTTCGCGTCGTGTGTAGAGGGGCGGTGGTGAAACACGGGTACGTGAGCGGGAGAGTTGTGCTCCTCGTCGTTGTCGTCGTCAACGTCAACGGCAGTGGTGATTGTGGTGATGCGCCGGAAAGGTTACTGGTCGCGGCGTGAGCGTGAAGCAGTCGATGATGATGATGCGCCGGGCGAGCTGGGAGAGGGACGCGTAGTAATATCCTCGGCGGCATTTCCTGTTGTACGGAATGTGATGACAAGACGAGCAGCGCAAGAGGCACGCTTGGAGAGACGGAATTATATACACTTCTAGTCTTTCAGTGAAAGGCGACGGACAGACACTAATAAAGGCCGTAGTACGACGGGCCATCGCGCAAGACCGGCCGAGATGGCCGGCCGGGGAAGCACTGGGTCAGCAAGAGTGAACTCTGGCGGCTTCCATTGGGCGGCTACGGTGGTGGTGGTGGTGGGGGTGCTAGGTCTGTTTCTTCAACACCCGCGCGGGACGGGACAGTGGTGGCGCAGAGGGCGGACAAGAGAGACAAACACGGTGTGGCAAAGCGCTTGTCATTTTCGCTGTCCTCGCTAATAAAGCTAGCTAACTAGATACGTATGTACTACGAGCAGGTACCCGGAAAGTTTTGGTGCAAACTTGACTCGGGCCTGGTGTTGATTATGGACACTTCTTTGTGTGGGTATATAGGCGATTTTTTTGGTGTGGTTCAATGGCGGGGGATGGGAGGTGTGGCGTAGTTGCCGCGCGCGTCGGACTTCGGGGTTTTCTGGTATTCCATAGGTAAGATACGCTCTGTGGAGCACAGCGCGGAACTGTCGTTGCCAACTTTGGCCGAAGCATGCGGACGCCGCACGGCGACTTATATGCATGTGCGGCTGTTAAATGAACATTGGGAGGTCGTTGCGTTGGACGCTCAAGCCGCTTGGGCTGTCGTCGTTGTCGTTGCCGGCGCGCCATGGCCCGGCGGCCCGGGCGGCAGCGGCAGTGAAGGCTGCCCTGATGACCTGCTGAAGCCTGCCGGAATGGCGGGGGCAGCACCCGTCGTCTTCTCCTCCGGCTCTCCATTGTCACCACTCTCACCAGCTTCACCACCATCCGCTGCAGGCGACAGCGGCGGGGGCGGCGGGGGCGACATCGGCTCCTGCTGCTCCTGCTGCTCCTGCTGACCACCTAGCAGCAAGTCCACATCCAACGCCCTCAGCCGCCCCCTCGCCTGCTCGCCCAGGTTCCGATCCACGACCCTCCTCGCGCGCGCATCGAGGTCCGTTATGCGGCGCGCCAGCTCCGCGAGCCCCGCCCAGCCGACGACGTTCTTGGCGGCGGGGTTCCAGGCGCTGGCGGCGGCGCAGACGCAGTTCATCTCGAGCTCGAGCAGGGCGCGGCACAGGCGCGCCGTGGACTCGCGCACGCGCGCGCGCTGCGTCTGGAAGGACGACGACGGGCTGGGCGTCGCGGACCACTGGTTGGAGTCGAGCAGCGTGGAGGTCAGGTGCGTGTACCAGGGGATGCGGCCGATGGCGCGGCAGAGGGCGGTGCGGAGCTCGGCGCGCTGGAGGATGGGGTCGAGGAGGAGCTGCGCGAGATGACAGTCAGCGCACGGGGGTTCTTTGGGGGAAGTGTTTGGCATAAGGTGGGAGAGTAACGCACAGGTGTCAGCGTGCAGAAGCCTGCCCAGGCGATGGCCGCCGAGGAGGGGTACTCGGACGTGACGCTCTCGATCTTGTCCTTGGCCTCGTCGAGCATGCGCCGCGCCGGGTCCTCGTCTGGAGCCTGCTGCTGCGCCTGCTGGCCAGCTGCCGCTTGCGCAGCCGCCGCCGCCGCCGCCTGCTTTGACCCGCGCCGCTTGCGCAGCCCCGCGGCGGATATGGCGCGCAGCAGCTCGAGGCGCTGCTCGGCCGACTTGCCCTCGAGCGAGGAGCTGTTGAGCCCGCCCGTCTTGAGCCCGTCGGGCAGCTCCTGGCTGATGATGGCCTCGTAGACGTGCACGAGCCCCGCCGTGGAGGGGTTATCGCGGAGGGCGTCGTAGGCCTCGTTCCAGAGCTCCAGCGCCTCTGCTGTTTCCCTTGTCTCCTGTTGGTGGGGTTGTGAAGATTGGCGTCCCTTGCTGCCGCGGGATGAGGCCGGCGAGGTGGACGTCCGCCGCGGGGTGCGGATGAAGGACGGCGCGCGGGACGAGGCCGACGCGGCGTAGCACTCGTCCGACTCGTAGTAGATGGAGGAGGAGGGCGTGAGGGAGCCGCTGCCGCCGGGTTGCTGTTGGAGCAGAGAGAGCTGCTGCTGCGAGGGCTGTGGTGATCGTTGCCCGTTGCCGGTGCTGCGGAAGCGGCCGACGAGCTTACGGATCGGGTTGTGGTGGTGATGGTGATGCGCCGGCGGGTGAGGTTGGGTTTGGGATCGGGGCGGTGGTGGTTGGGGTTGCTGCTCGCCGGCGGGGAGAGGCAGCCCCTTGTTGGCGTCGAGGACGCTCATGGTGTAGTCTGAGGGGGGGTGTTGCCAACGATGAGATGACGGTGTAGATTGTCTGCCGTGGGAGGATTGGCGAGGGACGGACGGCGTGGGAGAGAGGTGGACGAGAGCGTAGAGGCGGTCACGATGATGCCGGTGATGGTTATGCGCCAGGGCGTGTGAGTGAAGCGAGGCCCTGCCCGGCTTAAAGACTCTCAACTTTTTTACGTGACATTTGCTCACCACCGCCAACCAAACCAAACCCCCAACGAGGCAAGGCACCAAGGGTCCTGCTCCTCCTCCTCCTCCTCTTAGATTCCTCCACCTCCACCTCCTCCACTGGGTCCCCCCCAGGGCTGGACTGGGACTGACTGGGACTGGGCCGGGGGCCGCCTCGTGTGAGTGTGTGAGTGTGTGTGTGTGCTGTGCGTCGGCGAACCGGACGCCACTGTGGACTCTGCTGGGCTGGGCTGGGCATCCCATGGCATCCCACATTGTCAAGGTCTCCCCACTTGGCGGATGCAACCGCCGTTGGATGGGGCGGTTGTCCCCATGTCATCGTCATCATCGCCGGCGTCATGGCCGGGCCAATTCCCAATTCCCTTTTCTTGGTTACCTCGTACGCACGACATGGCACGGTATGGTACGGGAACGGTACGATAGCTACTGACTAGCTAGGAGCTGCCCTTGGCCTTCGCGGTCCTTTGACTCTTGGCTGTGTTGGGGTGGTCTTGTCAATTCGTGATGCGAGCTTGCTGCTCGGTGCGATTTGGCTGGAAGAGGAGGTATGCGATCACATGAATCCGCCGCCAAGGAAATCAAGATCCATTGATATGCTCATGGAGGAGCAGAATCCATCTGCGGGCTACAGCCCGCTGTTGGGTTGTCAATTTGTCGTTGGCGCTGCTTTAAAAACTGTTGCCTGGCTGCATGCACGACGTTTTGTTGCGGCTGCATGTGCTCTCTTCTCATGTACTGTACTGTACGTGCATATCCCGCAATGAGAATCTGCAGTTGGGCTGACACGCGCGAGGAATGGGATGCATGACCCTGTGCGTGTGCGTGTGTGTGTGCGCATGCTACGGACCGAGTCCGAGTGCCCAGCAAAAGCTCAGACCACGAATGCCCTTGTCGTCGTTCATCGGCGGGATCGGAGCATCGCGAGAATCGCGAGTCGCGCGGGGGGGGCATGTGGGTGATGGCCGGGTTCGTCCGCATTCGCTGGGCAGTCGTGCCATGCGTGAGTCCGGACGTCGTCCGCCTAGGGCAGGCGATCAGCTGGGATGAGACCCAACGGTAGGGCGCCACGGGGCGAGACGGGACAACAGCGGCAGGCCAGGGCACAGGCAGGCAGGGCGCATTCCAGTTGGGGGGGCACATCAGGCGCTCAGCCGTGTTGCCAGCTGAACCGACAGCCCGGCCCAGCAGTCTTTGCCTGTACTCCAGCAGGTCCAGCCCACCACACACACACACCAACTGGGAAAGACTGGGCACCCCTCTGATCACTCTGATCACAGTCCACAATGCGGAGCGCTGTTCTCCAGTGCCCACCGTGGGATCCATGGATCAGCCCCCCCACTCACCTCGAGGCTCCTCCCACCGAGGGACCCTTTTCGTCACAGCGGGGGTGGGCATCATCATCATCATCATCATCATCATCATCATCATCATCATCATCATCATCATCATCATCGTCGTCGTCGCGCGTCCCATCACCAACAGACGGATCATCTCGGCCTGCCTGCCCTTGCTGCCGTTCTGCAGCGTGCGGGATGGTGGGTGCCCCCTAACGTTACCTAACAAACTTCTCACCCACCGCGCGCCGGGGGGGCGGTTTTGTTCACCGAGGTGCCCGCTCCCGTTCCCCCCAAAAGCTCCCATGCCATCCACCTCACCGAATACCTTCACGCCACACCACGCTTTTCTCATTGCCCGCCACCAGACACACAAGGCAGCCGCCGAAGAACGCAGCCGCGGAGAAGCGCAAGCGCTGCTATACCAGGCTCGGTGACCTCAAAAAACCAAAATGAGCTCGGTGTGTGCGCCAAGGTAAGGTACCGCTGGCAGTACGAAAGTAGACTTTCCCCGGTTCGCCAATCTGTCTGCGCGTCATCCCTCCCTTCCGCCCATCTCTGGCGCAGACATGGCGGCGCGGCGGCGCGGCGACTCGCCCCAGGCTCTCGGCGAGAACCGATGGGCCAAACAAACTCGAGTGAGCGTCGTCGGTCCGGCGTCGGCAAACAATAAGATGGGATAAAAATATAGAGGTATTACTACGCGTGGGCGCCGGGGACCTGGAGTGGGAGTGGCTGCAAGCTTTCCGCCCTCAACTCACTGTGGCCTGACGAGCACACGTGGAAGAGCCTACTTCAGCGCATGACACGGGGAAGCCGAGTCAGCGGGAGCTAGCCCCTGGAGACAAGTCGTGGCACTGGCATAGGTAAGCTAAGTAACAAGACGACTTCCGATGAACAGATGCAGATGCAGCAGCGGCAGAGCCAACACCGATGAACCAGCGATGAAGGCTAAGGTGGGCTGGGGTGACATCTCCACTTCGGGAATCGAATTGAATTGAATCGAAACAAGCTGTCGAATCTTCGTCAGGCAGGTTGGCCGGCCCCCTAATCAACATCAGACGTCGTCGTCGTCAACGCAAAGCACCTCCCTGGACGGTCCATGATCTGCGCAACGACCGCCAGCCGTTGAACTACCCGCGCTCCGGCCAACGGGGGCCAGCACCGAGACACGGTCGGCTTGGCGGGTCAAACGAGCAGTGCCTCATCCCCCGGCGCTGCTGCTGCTCCTGCTGCTGTCGCAGTCCACCAAGCGAGCCCACCTTTAGGTACTGAGGTAGAGTGCGCCGTGGTACAAAAGCCTGGGTTGCCCCGAGCGCTGCTGATGCGACGGGAGTCTGTGCAGAAACGGTGATCTGACCACTACGCGAGATCGGCGAGGCGATCGACAAGGGTAGATTTACTGCATAACGTTACCTACTGCTTGAGGTATCCATGCCGTGAATGGAGGGACACTTCGCCAACTGCCGGGGTGCAACGGCAGCTGCCAATATGTACCGGGCCCTCCTCTTTTCATGCTCGTAGTAGTGCAGTGTGTTGTTCTGTGAGCATCCTTTACGCCAAGCGAGGCTGTCGTCTCGTCCCTTCGGTTCAGCCAGCGCCTTGCAGAAGCGACCGTCCCGCGTTTTCCATCTCTCGACGACGACACCGCACTCGTTTCGCGTCTCATTCACAGGTCCACGTCGTCGGCAGTGCAGGAGCCACCGGACTGCAGGTTCGTTGACGACGACGACGACCGACAAGGGGGCACGGCACCGGCTCCTGCTGCAGGCACGCGGGACAGAACAGTCAGAGCTCGCGAACCGAACCCACCTCTTTCGGCTGCGTAACCACGAGTCGAAGTTTCCATCAGACACCCGGACGACCTGTGCATCACCTACCGAACCCCCTTCCTTCCTTCCTTTCCCCTCTCCGCCCCTTTTAGGCACCCTCGACATCTCGGCCCGTTTTCTTGGGACCTGCGTTTGACCTGCTCGGACCTTTACGCAGCCTGCGCTTCCCCCCCTGTACTCGTCGTCGTCGACACTCGCTTGCGACGCTCGCCGCTCTGGTACGGTTTCTGCACGCTCGTTTTGTGTTGTCAAACCGTTGCATTGCGTCGCTCGCTCTAGTCTCGCCTACGTACGCTCGTTTCCACCTCGCTTGTTTCCGGCAAAGTAGGCAGGCAGTCTCGGCTCGGTGCAAGCGCGGACGTGGACCCCTTGCTCGCTCGTTAGTCGCACCTTGTTACAGCCGCGCAGCTGCTGCGTCGCACAAGCGACATTACGACAACTGACATCAGCCCGCGCGCGTACTGTCATCTTCAGACAATCTTCACTCGTCTCTCTCTTTCTCTCTCTTTCTCGCCGACGAACAAAAAAAGACGTAAAGTGGTTGTTGTTGTTGTTGCTGTCAACATGTTTGCCTCGGCGCTTGGCCTACTCGTGCTCGCCGTGAGCTGGGCCCTCCCCATGGCCGCCCTCGGATCGCCCATCGCCAACACAACCGGCCTTTCCTGGACGCCGGCCGCGGACCACCAGACGACCTGCGAGCGCCCCGCCACGTTCGCCGCCGACCCGTCCCTCGAGCCCGCCAACTGGCGCGAGTGCGCGGCGCTGTACTCGTCGTGGGCGACGGAGAATGGCACCTTTCGCCTCCTTCCCGAGCGGCAGCAGGCGGAGAAGAAATCCAACAGGGGCGGCGACGGTGATGATGGCGTCGGCAGTGAGTACGACGCGGACGGCTTCCTCGTGCTGCTGCGCGAGACGGACTGCGTCCTCGCGGTGCGGCCTATGGATCCCGCCAAGGCGCCCTTTACCGTCGGCGACAGGGACGTCAACATGCTTCTCGAGGAGAGCCTGAAGAATTACTCGCGTGGCACCGAGCTGGCCGTCTCCGGAGTCGTCAAGTGCGCTGACGCGGGCGGCGAGAAGGCGGGCTTGATGTGGCAGCTGGCCAAGACGGCGAAATGAGGGGGAGTCTTCTTGTTTGGGGACGGGAGGGCATGTGTACGATGGCGGGCGGATGATGCGTTACGGGGTGGTTGCTACGGCCCATAGGCTGTATTGTTGAGGGCGCAAAGGTTGCTATACGCGCAAGAGGCTTCATGTTATCATGTGCGCGATTCCTTACGATGCCATTGGCGAACATATGCAATCAACGTGAGCTTGACCACAGTGTCCGTCTGAAGCGTGAGCTTTTATCCATGGCCAGTATGCGCAGGAATTGTGTTATGTTAGAGTTCGCTTCAGGACAGCGAGTGTAGTTCTGCCACTGATAATGGGCTTGAGCGGCAACAGCCAACGGCAACAGTTTGGCCATCTTGTCCGCCATTGAGTTAGAAACACCAATCCCAGAATGCTTGACTCAGCTGACGCCGCAAAGACAGCCTCGTGACGAAAAGCCGCTCCTGACATATGGAAGTGATCGTCAACTGATGTGATCGCAGAGTTCACGGGCTTGCGCGGTCGCGACCGACCGGGAGCTGGGCCTCACAACACGCGGCGCCGTTGGGCGGCTTCAGAAACGAAGGACCGTCCCGCTGGCCTGCATAACCGCCGCCTAGAGCTGCAGGTTCATGGACCTGAAACGAATTGGTGATGTGACCTGTGCCCGGAGCCAATCACTTCAGGTCTAGGAGATGGCTGGGCGGGCCCAAAAAGGTAATGAGAATGATCGTAAGAAACACAACCAGAGCCCTCCCAGGACGATACTGTTTTGCCGTCGTCAAAATAGTGCGTTTCCCTGTCCCTGTTTGTGCGACCATTGGGCTGAGGCATCTCAAAGGGGAGGGCATGGTCCGAGTATGGGAATCTACTTCGGCTGAGCCCTGTATGTAAGACAGAAGGAGTGAAACAAATCCTGCAAGCGGCTTGTGAGCCGCACTGCGTGTCGGATCGATGCTTCAGCTGGCGCTGGGTTTCCAGCCAGCCATGCCTATGTACCATACGTTCTCCGCGCTGTCGCTTTGCGCGTATGAATAAGTCCATAATATTAAACAGCCACCAAGATAATTCCCTGATTTCCGTAGACCTAGCGCTACTTGTTTGGCACTGAGCGGCTGGGAGAACCCCGTGTACTTTATTACATATGATGCCTCGTAGGATGAAGCTAATGTACTTCGTATGTAGAATCCCTGTCTCCGAGGAGGCCTCGAGAGGGCCGGTCGGGCGGCCGCTCGAAGTGCTTCCCAAAACAACAAAGACAAGCTGAGCCTTTCGCCTCAGCTTTCTGCACTTTAATGCCACCGCACCCATTCCATTGTCGTCGCGTCGCACCGACGACGTATTCAACAACGCGACGATGGCTGAAGTGCATCGCATCGGCTTTACGCCTCTCCTGGGAGACGAGAAAAATGTCAATAGAGGACCGTATGGTGTCAAGTATGTCGCACACCAAGTTGTCCTGAAGTAATCTGACTCGGCGCGTTGCAGTATCGTCCTCATCCATGGCTTGCGCGGCCATCCGAAGCGCACGTGGGAAAGCGACCCAGCGCGAAGCGGCGAGCCAGCTGTTGCAACACCCCGTAACCGACGCTTCAGATCCTTGTTCCGAGCCAAGTCATCCAAGTCGACCACGAGCAGTGTCAAGAGCGACGAGAAAGACTCTACCTCGCCCAGAATATTTTGGCCAGTCGACTTTCTAGCAGAGGATATACCCGAGGCGAGGATGTGGACGTACGGATACGATGCGGACGTGATTGGAGGTGTGTTCCAGGCGAACAACAAAAACAGCGTTTCGCAGCACGGCAGAGACCTTGCTGTGCGGATCGAGCGGGAAATCGACAATAAGGTGGTAGTGACCTCCTCGGATGCAGCCAACCGCAGCCGAAGGAATCGCTAACGAAGGTTCCAGGATCCGATTTTCTTTGTGGCACACAGCCTCGGTGGAATAATACTCAAAGACGTACGTCAAAAATCTGCCGGTTCTGAGGGGGGTTGGCGGGATAGCATCACACGGTTAACGTTTCGAAGGCCATGCACAGGTCGGAGTCGTGTCGGACGCGGACGAGGCTGATCGTGTTTCTCGGTACGCCGCACCGAGGCAGCGCCGTTGCCGGATGGGGTGAGATTGCAGCGAATCTTGCTCGGCTGGCCTTGCAAGATTCGAACAAGAGATTGCTTGAAACGCTGGAGGTGAGCAGTGAAATACTTGACAACATCCACGAAGAATTCAAGACAATAGTTCACAAGTCGGGGATCAAGATTCACTCTTTCCAGGAAGCTCAGGGAGTGTCAGGCATGAAGGGCCTGGACAACAAGGTGGGCTGTCCGCTCTCTTCCCTTGCCGTATGATGGCGTCTCTTGATTCATCACTAATTGTGGCATTCGATGGCACGATAGGTCGTTGACGACTTCTCATCGAAGCTGGACTTACCACGGGAACTCGAAACAGTCGAGTCAATCAACGCGAACCACAGGCAGATGACCAAGTGCGGCAACAGGTCGGATCCGCAGTATCGGGCCATCTTGGGCGTTCTCAAGCAAGCGGCCTCGTCACTATCCCTTGGCAACTTGCCCGTGCAGATGACACTACGCCAGCGGCGGAGAATCCCGTACCTGACGTCGCCGAATTGGTTTGAAGCTGTTCAGTACTTGGGGAGCACTTGGGAAGGGGAGACACGGGACGGCCTCGACGTGGCTGGAACGTACTCTGAATCCTGGATGAACCTCTTCATGAACTTTGGCGCCCACAATATCCTCACATCGCGTTTTGTCCAATCGCTTCCCGTCGATGAATACGACGTCCCGCAAGACATTGTGAATCCCTTTGCCGTCCAACTCACTGTCATAGCAAAGCTCGTGGGGATTATCGGCTGCGACGGGCTGGAATATGTCGACGATATGCCCGTCTTCACTGGCACGTGCACTAGGTTGGAGTTTAGGCGCGACGGACACAAGGCGTGGATCGGCCGCTTCACGCAAGAACCCGGGCTCTCAACGTACATGTTTGGCAATTGGATGACCGTGGGGAAAGCCTCGATACATGCCGGCGGTTGCGTCTTGTACAGGCTCGGTATCGTGATTCCCCTTCTGGAGACGCAAGCAATGGAACAGCCCCCCCATGCATTAATACGGGATCTCCAGCTTAAAGGTCCTAGCGAGACTCCCTTTGTTCTGGGAGACTATGAGGGCCTTCGCATCCCTGCACTGGCGCTGTTAGCTGGCGAAACACCCACCACCAGTCGGGCGTTCCCGACGAGGGGTTGCAGAGTCCTGGAAGCCACACAAGAACTGTCAACCTTGTGTGCGTTCTGGAACAACCGTGGGCATCGGGCAGTCTCACACCTTACGGAGTATTTCGTCCATATTTTGGACCACATCTCTCCCGTCTCGACTAGCGAGTTTCGAAGCATGACATTTTGGAGCGACCGCCTGGAGCAACGAGTGGTTACCTTCACAAAGGAAAGATGGGACAGCGCGAAAATCGTTGGTCTGGGCTTCTCCTGGCTGATCTCCCGAGATGACTACATACAATGGGGCGGCGAGGACCCTATACGGGGCATCAAAGCGAGGCCCGCATGGTCTTCGGCTCTTTGCGATGCCAGCCTCGTGGTTTTAGACGACGCCCTGGACGCATGCGATATCTACCTTCAGCATGGAGATATTAGCTCGATCTGCCAACACGAGCCCAACCGCGACAAGGCATATTTTGACACTTGTCTGAGCTGTCAGCTACAGGAAGTAGACTGGTGGCTCGACAGCAAACAAGCTCTGGCAGCATGCGAGACATCCAGGATTCTACATCAGATGGCCGCATCAGGAACAAGCACAGGTCCTCTTCCTCCTCCCGAGTTTGATTCGGCTTCCGCTGAGAAACGGGCCGTACGCGCCATGCTAGTATTTCGGGCCCTCTTGATTGCCGTTCGTCTCGGATTGGGTCTGGATAATAGCGACTTTGAGAATACTGAGCTTGGCAACAAGATAGTCTATCTGCGATAGTAAGATTGAGTGTTTTCCCTCTGCACTTCAAGTTATTATTAGAGACAGTAGTGCGTCGATTATATAGCGGGTCTCCGGTACCAAGTCGTTCTCCGAGCACTTGGGCTCGTAGTCGCGAAACAAAGTTCAATGGACCATCTCCCATCCTCTCGACTTTAGCTCTGAGGCATCAAAGACACTCTAGAGGGCATCGACTCACCCGCCCAAGGGGGCGTCCAAATATGTCCAAGTCGCCGATTCTACATCATCTTTCCCCGCATTGCATTGCTGAATTCGGAAGCAGCAAGTCTGAAAGGGCGCCGCCATTGGTAAGAGCGTGCAAAGTGCTAGTATATGTGAGAAGTTGCATCGGCCAAGTACGACGATTACGACGGCTGATCAGCGCTGCTTGGCGTCCCATCAACAAGGCGTGGATGACACATGGCGACTTCACGTTGAAGGCAAGTACGCACCACCAAACATCCCTCCTCCATGACCTCACTTAATCACCTCACTCATCACATCAAGCACCAGCAAATTTACCATGGCTCTCCCACTAAAGTATTCCTCCCCCAATGGCACTGTTCGGTGGACCAGGCTGGGGTCAGGACCGCCCCTCGTCTTCAACCACGGCACGCCATGGTCGTCGTTTGTATGGCGAGACATTGCCGATGCCTTCACGTCCACGCACACAGTCTACCTCTGGGACATGCCAGGCTACGGTCTCTCAGACAAGTACGACGGGCAAGACGTCTCGCTGGGCGCCCAGGGCAAGCTCTTCGCGGAGCTGCTCGCGCACTGGTTCCCACAGCAGCAGCAACGCCCGCCGCCCATCGTCTTCGCGCACGACTTCGGCGGCGCCGTGGCCCTGCGCGCGCACCTCCTGCACGGGGCACGGTACGCGGCGCTCGCGCTCGTGGACCCTGTCGCCCTCGCGCCCTGGGGCTCGCCCTTCTTCCGGCTCGTGGGCGCGAACGCCGACGTCTTCGCGCAGCTGCCGGCGAACCTGCACGGCGCGCTGGTGAGGGAGTACATCTCGGGGGCGAGCCACGCGGGGTTGCGGGCGGAGACGCTGGAGGAGCTGGCGCGGCCGTGGTGCGACGGCGAGGGCCAGGCGGCGTTTTACCGGCAGATCGCGCAGGCGAGTGAGCGGTTCACGGACGAGGTGGAGGGCCGGTACGGGGAGGTGCCGGCGGGGATGGCGGGGGATGGGGATGATGTGCAAGGTGAGAAGGGGGCGGGCAAGGAGGGCAACATCTCACGGGTGCTGCTGGTGTGGGGGACGGAGGATACGTGGGTGCCGGTCGAGAGGGGGAGGGAGCTGCAGCGCAGGATGGGCGGAGGAGGCGTGGTGCTGAGGGAGATTGCGGGCGCGGGGCACCTGGTGCAGATGGACAGGCCGGCGCAGCTGACGGGCGTGCTGATGGAGTTTGTGGGCGGTGTCGGTGGTGCTCGTGTTGGGTGATGATGGCGATGGTGGAGGTGGAGAGTCTGAGAAGAGGAGGAGCAGGAGGAGGAGGAGAGGCGTGATGTCTGCGGGGTGAATGTAGGTGAGTGTCTTGCGTGTAAGTCGGCGCTGCTCCGGCCGGTGAGAAAGCTTGCGTCTAAGTTCCTTCGTACTCTAATCCACTATTACGCCTGTCTCGCCGCTGCATATCATGAAACGGAAGGATACATAAGCCCCAATGGCGCCATGAGAGTTTGCTGCATGTGCCGCCGTATCGTGCATTGCACTGTACTATAGTCAAGCGCGCAAGATCTATTCTTGATCTCTATACAGTACAGTACTGTATCAACAGCCTCCGTCCAGGATGCTCACGCCAGGCACACTGTAGGACACCGGGTGGCGCATCAAGCATGTATGCATCTCGGGTCGCGACGACTCACGGCTCGGCATGGCGATGGAGGCTTGCCGCGGCGAGAGTGTGGGCGCTTGGACCGGCGGACGGCTCTGCCATTTCGGCAATCGCAGCAGGGAGGCAGGTACCAGACAGGAAGACCGGGGGTTGGGGGAGCATGGCATGGCATGGTTGCAAAGGTGCAAGGGCCAGGGCATGAGCAACAGCACAGGGCAGTGCGTCGCCGGGCCGATCTGGCGGCGGGCCTCGGCAGGTCCAGCGGTCGAGAACAGACTCAGAGAGCATCATCAATGTCTTGCAGAGCAAAGTGGGCTCTTCGTGCAGGACACGGGGGCAGAGGGCGGGCGCTCGGGGCTCGCGATGGTCCTGGCATGCCTCCTCCGTCAACGGACAACAGGGGGGAACAGACCTGTGTCGGTCCTGGGGCGAAGCGGGCCGCCGCTCATTTGCGGTGCGGGACACGAGATCTGACTGACAGAGGGAAAAATGTGCGGGACGATCACGGCCATCATGGGCAAACCTTTTTGCTGTGTGCGTGGTGGGAGGCGGTCAAGCTCACACGTACGCGGCGGGATGGGATGAGTGAGATGGATGAGTGGTACTTCGTATGGGATGGATGGGGATGATGATGGAGCCGCTCGCAATGTGACATTACATCCTCTTTGCTTCGTAAAACGCTCCCTGCAGCGTTTACAGTATGAGAGAAGGCAAAAGTACGGGGCAGATACAGTTGTGCGACACACTGGGCGGTGTCAGCGTCGGTGTCCAGATGCCTCGCCTCCCTTGCTTTGGGATGCTCTGCGAGCGAGCGGGCGGATGGCCGTGTTGTGTCTCGCAGGCCAAGCAGGCGGCGGCATGTCGTGCGACCAGCATGGGGTGCGTATATATTGCGTTATGTACGTATGTATGTGAGCGCAGGCAGCTGAGGCGGTGATGTTAGCTGCGCAGTCAGTCAGTCGGACAGCGCCGCGGTCGCCCATAGGTGGGATCTGCAGCTGACGAGCCCGTCACGAGTCCGTCCGTCGGGGCTCTCTGCCTCTTCTGGTCTCTGTCTGTCCCGCCTGCTTCGGTGAGACCGGCGCGGCTCATATGCGACGCTGTGCTTACACGCCGGCCGACACATACTCCGTCCATCCTGTACAGTACTGTACTGTACTGCACCGTAGATGCATGTGCTGCAGGACTGTCCGTCACGACAACCTGGGCCGACTCGAAAACTGCCCGCATGTACTGATTGAGAGAGGGGGAACGCAACGTGGGCAGCAACAGTGCGGCCCGGAACAACCCGACCGACTGCAACTTGACCCTCTCGTGTCGCGTTGGTGGTCCGCGCACATGTCGGGGACATGGGGCGACACGTTCAGTGAGATCAAGATCAGGCACGGACCAAGAGTCGGCCAGCGCGCGGCGGGGGGGATGGGGGAGTGAGGGTACTAAACATGGTTGGGGCCGAGAGAGCGTGTTGGTGGGATCCATTGTGAAAAAAGATGTTGGCTGGGAAGGATGGCTGGATGGATGATGGATTGTGGTTGAATGGAGAGAGAGAGAGTTGCCTGTTGTCTGTTGGCTTGCAGCCAACCCAGGGGGGGTTCTGCTGCGTATGACTTTGCTATTCTCGCGGGCAACGGTTGCTGCCGTTGTTGTTGTTGCTGCCTCGGCTGAGGGTTATGAGAAGATGCAAGGAGATGAGTCGGATGCTGTACCGTACTGTAACTGGCGGTCACATTGATGAAGACCTGTGATCCAAGTCGGTAGTTGTGACTCGTGACGCCACGCATGATACCCCAAGTCATGAATGGGTTGACCGACGAGTACAGGGCAGGACGTCATGATGGCAAGCGGCGGCGGCGGCGGCAGCATCTCGCTTGTGTGGCGGCGGTGACTCGGCAAGCTGCGGGTGGAGAGCTGGCATCGGATGGACGGCTTGGGAAAGCTTGATGATGAAGCTGTGAAGCTTCAGGGTCACAGGCCATCCGACGTTGCTGAGGGTGGAGTCATGGCCAAAGCCTGGAAGGTACTGAGGTTATGGAGGTGGGTGGCAGGCCGAGACCCCGGACTCCCTGGGCGCCTGCAGTGCGTAGTTGCACCTATTGAATTGCACCGCGCCCGCCTTACAGGGCTCGTCTTCCCCGCCGGCACACTCCCGACTACTCCAGCGGAGCCGCCTCCAGCTCCAGACCGCGCAGCATCCGACTCGACTCCATGCCTGCCCGCACTGCGGGGGTTTCAATGGCATTGGATGTGGCGGGCCATGTCCACCTTTTCCTTCCAGCTGCAGCTCGCACTCCCCACTGCAGTGGGCGGCCGACCCGCTGAAGCCCCCGGGATGGCTTGCAGGTCACTGATGCGCGCTGGAGGTGCAAGCAGCCCGTCGTGACCGTCCCCTCTCCTCCATGCCGTCGGACTCGTCCCATCCATTACCAAGGGTACCGATATGCCCGACTCGGGCGTGTAGTACCACGATACTGTAAGTGCTCGAGTATTTTGTGTACAGTACTCACAGCACCTCTCGATGCCAAGAGCAGCTCAGATGAATGGCGGCAAAACTCGCTCAGTGAGCGTCCGGCCGCGGCGCTTTTATCAAGACGGGACGTGGTCATATTCCTCCTCCGCCCGTCGCGCCGACCGACAGGTCCGCCTGTTGGCGGTTCGAGCGCTGCGACGCGAGCGCTGATGAGCCGGTCCAGGGCAGGGGTCCCCGGCCCTTTCAGGGTCCCTGCGGTGAGGTGCCGACCGCCGTTTTGCCGCGCTCCGATGATCGCCCCGCTGCCGCTGATCGAGACCTGCTGGAGGGGTGCTGCGATTGAATGACTGGCTCCCGCTGGGGGGGTGGGGGACCCTGTGATCCAGCCCTGTAGCCTCGGGTGCCTCAGGCGGTTGGGCTTTGGGCTGAGGTGCGGACCTGAGGAGGTGTCACGCTCCTCCACTGCCACGGCCGCGACGTAGCGGTGACGGGTTCAGCCGTACACTACCTCTGCATACCGTGCTCCAGCAGCTGTCTCTACTCCGGCTGTTGTTTCCTGATTCACTGCCTCCCGTGCCGCCCCTCTCTCAGCTACGGCAATACTACTCCATTCTTCTTGACGAGGCAACGCTTCCCCTCGCATCACCCAAAGTTCCTAGCCCGCCTCAATCCAGCTGCTGTTGGTTGCTAGGCAGGCGGACAGCTGGCAACTGCAGCCAACGACAGTCGTGGAGCTGCTGATCCAAATTAGTAGCATCCTGTCGAGGGCCCCCAGTTTGGGAGCTGTTTGGCATGGCGTCAAAGGAACCGCGTGCGTTTCGAAACGTTGAAACCACTCCTGGCCTGCGGTGACGCCACCAACGGGCTCCATCCCGCCGTCGGTGATGCTGCTGTTGCTGCGCCGCTGCTGCTACTGCTCATGCCACGGTATCATCAGCCCGCATGCTCAAAATAGAGCTTGCGCAGTCAGAGTCAAACAGGATGGTCTGAAACGTCAGCGACGACGACACGGAGAGACACATGGGACGTATAGACTATAGACAGACACATGACGCGGATAACGACGTGGCGGACGACTGCCGACGACGGCGGACGACGACGACAACACGACAACGCGACAGCGGCCCAAACCCAAAATCTACCTGGCGCGGCGCTTCCCTCCCTCGCCGGCACTCGCCCCGGCGGCACCCTCCGACCCTACTAAGACGTTCTATGAATGGACACTTCTTACCCCCCCTCTTCGCCCACAACCACAAAGGGCCAGCCAGGCCCGCCAGGCCCGCCACCCCATTGACGGGATCATGGGCGCCGCCTGTCGGTGGTGGCTGACCCCGGCCCCCCTCCGCAGTCGCACACGCTGCCGCTCCCATGATGACCTGCGCGTGCCCAGCCGGCGCAACGTTGGATCTGGCTGCCGGCGGTTGGCTGGCTGCCCGACACACCAAGCAACAAGCAACGCGGGAGGCCGGGGGGGGAGGGGGGTGTGATGCGGTGTGTTGTGTTGTGTGTGGTGGTGTGCCCAGGCAGCCGGCCCTTGTCCCTTGACCCTGCGCCGGTTCACAATGAGATGTCGTGTCGTCCCGTCCGCCACGCTCGCGATACCCGTGATATAAGTGATCTCGCCCCAGGGGGCCCCCCTCACATATGCTCTTACCTGCTCCTCCCCCGGATTCCCTTTCAACTCTGCCTCAGCCTCGATCCACCGTGATGCACAGCTGCGCCATCGCTTTGTTCCGACAAAGAGCATCATCATCGTCGCCAGCCAGCGCACTGTTCGTCCTCGACACCCGGCCCCCCGGCAGCAACACCACCGAGGCGCGGCCACGAAACAAGCGAGCATACAGTACACGCACACCACAGACACACACACAACGCACGCAACACGCACACGCATCGGCAACCTCCACCGCCGGCCCAAACAACCGGACAAATAAAGCCCTCGACCCCCAAAACGGCCCTTTTCGGGGCGCGAGAGGGGGCGTGCCTAGCAACCCTTTGCAACCTCACGAACCCGCCCGGGCCACGCTGGAAGCCCTGCCTGCCAGAGGCGCGTTGCAGCACGCAGGCGGGACATACCTACATTACCTTGTTCTCTCCCCGCAGGAGCTATTCAAAGGGACTTACGGCATCGACTTGAGGCTCAAACAGCAGCTGTCACCCTCGCGTTACAAGTCGTCATAGACGCCGCATCTGGCCTGGCCGCACAAGGGACGACGTCTTTCTACTTAACAACGCCGGCTGCATCTCGAAACCGCCTTTGCTCTCTGATGCCCTGTTCCACTGAACATCGCCATACACAACGCGTTGTAATATCTCGACGCAAAGAAAGCACGCCGCCATGACGGCCGGATACCTCCCTCATAACCACATCCACCCCGGCGGCATGGCCATCCCGGGCGTCCGCCACCGCACATTCTCCTCCTCCTCCAACTCCGTCTGCAACTTCCCGCCCTCGTCATCCTCGTCCTCATCATCCTTCTCCGCCTCGTCGACCGCCTCCTTCTTCCAGCTGCCGACGACCAAGCGGCGCAACAAGCAGACCCGCCTCATGGAGCAGCAGCAGATGGAGCAGGCCGCCGCCGCCCACGAGCACGCCACGCTGCGCGCCCAGGCCTGGCTCTACCTCAACGACTTCCTCGACACCTCGCCCGACTGGAGCGAGATGCGCGAGCAGATCGCCATCGTCTGCGAAGCCGTCCCCACAATGCCCGAGCTCAACTCCTACGGCGAGCTCGACGAGAAGGAGGGCACCGTCGCCTGCCGCCGCCTGTTCAAGGCCCCCGTCGTCTGGGACCGCCTCGGCCACAGCCTGTGGAAGACGCTGCGCGAAGCGGCCGAGCAGCGCGCCGTCGCCCGGAAGCTCTTCGAGGCCGCCGACTGGTCTGCCGCCCTCGATGGCTTCACCGACGTCGACTACGCCGCTACCGGGGATGCTTGTCGGGGTGGACGCCGCCGCGCGTCTGAGTCGACCGTCGGGACGGGCATCAGCTCGCGCAGCTCGAGCGTCTCGCCTCTGGACAGGGTCAGCAACGACTGCACCGGCACCAAGGTCAAGAAGCAGTCGTCGCGCCTAAAGCTTTCCAGGAGGTTTTCGCCCTCGCGACGAGGATCCTCCGACACGGACCGCGAGCTTACCGGCGTCTCGCCGCAGCAACAGCTGGACCAGCGTCGGGATAGCTCCGACCGGTCTGCGACCCCCAGAATCATCCCGTCAAACTACTTTTCTGCCATGCGGCGGACACTGGGGCTGTTTGGCGACCACCCACGGCAGCAGTCGCGGTGACGGCTGGTGCCGATACAATGTCACTGGGGCACGACAGTTTGATACCGAATAATGTAACAACAACAACGACACAGCAACCATACACGGTAATTAATCAACAATTGAGGCGAACTGCCTTTCAGCGCAGGCGTTTTGGCGGATTGGACAAGGTCACAAGGACAGCATCATGAGCGCGCACCCAGCGATGGGGCGAAACGGGTATTACATGACCCCTGCATGAAGGAATGCTTGCGTGTAACAGCATCACAGCATGGCGTTGTTTGGGGCGGGTGACATTCCCCGCGGGGAGAATTTCAGCGAGCATACATGCATGGCTTGGGGGCAAACGTCAAATAGGACACTATTGCACCAAGAGCAATAACGGCATCTGACCTAAAAGAGTCAGGGTGGATAATGTTTAGATAGTGAGATAGTTGGATACATGAACGAGCGCGCACGACGCAGCCGGTTCATTGAACACATGACATCACAAACACAAAAATCGTTGAAGCCCTTGTGAAACATCCCTCAGTCTCTCCAGACTCAGTCAGATGGCATCCACGATATTGATCGATGAGACTTATGTTCTTCACATAACACTGCCGAATCGAGCTTGTCCGAGTTGTCTTTGGCTCACAAGTTTCGGGAGGTACCGGGTAGGTTGACATTTACGCTGACTCATCGTACGATGGACCCACAAGCAACTGCCCAGGCCGGCAGGAGCTTCCCTGCTGTCGGGTGCTGCCGGCTCAACCCCGGAAGTCGCTGCTGCCTGCGCCGGCCCCTCTCTACTGGCAGGTGCGAGGCTGGCCCAAGTCCCACCCACCGCGCAGCGCTTGCTAGCGCCGCAGCTACCCCAAGCTCGCGCGCCTCTTTTCGTTCGAGCCTCAAACACGCCAGCCTCGCAAAACAATCACCGTCGGTCCCTCAGCCAAACCGCCGCCGACGCCGACGACTGCGCGAGGGCGCTTATTTGCAACCCCACGACGCTCATTTCTAGGCTCACTTCAATCTCTTCTTCATTTGCGGATGGTACAGGCCGCCGAGGGATGACGAGTCGACACGCCTCCTGCTGCACCTAGCCCGAGGTCGTGATCATGGCGGCGGCCGACGTGGACGCGGGCTACATCGCCGGCCACCTCGGCCTCGACCAGCCCGTCGTCACTGCCCTGACGACCGAGCCGACCGTCGACCTCGTCTCGACCCTGCTGCGCGCCGTGGCGGCCAAGGCGCACGAGTTCGACACGCTGTACGCCGACAAGCTGCAAACAGACATCGAGCTCGAAAACGCGGTGCGGAGCGCAGAAACACGCTCCCAGACGAGCAAGGCGACGGCGGAAAAGGCACTGAAGGATGTTGAAGAAGCCAGAAAGAGCTTGAAGGAAGAGGGTATGCGACAGTCCTTCCCTCCCTGCGTCCCGGTGGACACCATACTGACCGTGCGATGCTGCGCACAGAGACAAAGCGGCAAACTCTGGAGAATGAGCTTCAGTCGCTCAAGGCCAAGAACTCGGACCACGACGCCGAGGTCAAGGCGCTCAACGACAAGATCGAAACGCTCCAGTCATCGAACCGGACCAACTTGAGCATCATCGAGTCCAACAATAAGCGGGACCAGACAATCACCGACGAGCTCACCAAGCAACACCAGCGCAATGTCGAGCTGTCCCGCGAAATCACCGCCCTGCAGCAGTCGGAGCAGAACGCCAAGGGCCAACTCAACAGCGCCAAGTATCGCGAGGAGTCACTGAAGCAACAGCTCGAGCTCGCCCGTCGCAACAGCGAGTGGCTCGAGAATGAGCTCAAGACCAAGAGCGACGAGTCGCTCAAGTACAGGAAAGAAAAGGGTGCGCGCATCGCTGAGCTCCAGCGTGAGAGTGAAGATGCGCGATCCCAGGTCGATGCCCTCAAACGGACCGAGCAGCAGCTGCGCGAGCGTCTCGAGGCCATGCAGGCCAAGGCCGACGATGCCCTCGTCAAGTTGCAGAAGCAAGAGGGCGCGTTTGCCACCACGGTCGAGAGCTATAAGCAGGAGCTCGAGGACCAGCGACGACTCGTCGACATGTCGGACCAGCTCAGCAAGAAGCACCAAGAGCGCGTGCGCGAGCTTGAGGCCGAGAAAGAACGCCTCAAGGACAACTACGAGAACGAGATCCGCCGGGTACGCACCGAGCTGGAACAAGAGCGACAGACCACGACGCAAATGGAGGAGAAGATTCAGCAGCTGGAGTCTGAGCTCGACGAGCTACACGCCCGCATGGATCAGCGCCCACAGCCTGGAGAGCCACCGCAAACCCCTCGGGCTAACGGCTCGCTCATGGCTCGCGCCGCGTCGCCTTTCGGCACCCCTGGGTCCGTTCGCAGCAAGTCGGCCGTCACCGCGACGCAGGCAATCGAACAGCTGTTCCAAGTCAAGGGACAGTTGGCCAGCGAGAGGCGACGTAACCAGCAGCTGTCCGAGGAGCTGGATACCATGCTCTCTGCTCTGGAGGCCAAGGCTCCTGAGATTCAAGAGCTCCAGGCCGAGACCGAGACGCTCCGCAATGAAATGGCGCGCATGTCGGAGCTGTCGCAGCAAAGCTTCGAGGAGCGCGATGTCGCCAGAAAAGCGGCTCGCAAGGCCGAGAGCGCCCTGGCGAACACGACCTCCGAAGTCAAGATTCTCAAGACGCAGCTGCGCGACCTGGGAACCCAGATCCAACTTCTGGTCTTCAATATTTACGCGCTCGAGAAGGGCATGGACGAGCTGACGGAGGACGAAAAGTTCCGACTTCAGCAACTCGAAAAGGGCGAAATCACCGAGGAGGCGCTGTCCGACCTGTCTGACACGCACCAGTTTATCACCCAGAAGCTTGTCGTGTTCAAGGACATCAAAGCCCTTCAGACCAAGAACGAGGACCTCCTGCGCATCACGCGCGAGTTGGCCGAGCAGATTGAGAGCGAGGAGGCACTGGCCGCCAAGCACCAGGCTAAGCTCGACCACGATAATGTCGAGAAGCTGCAGCGCGAGCTCGAGCACATGATTGACGAGAGCAAGGCCATCAAGAACACCATGGAGAGTTACAAGATGGAACGCGACATGTTCCGTCGTATCCTCCAGCAACGTGGCGCCGGCGGCGACGAGGCGTCCATGATGCGCGGCTCCCTCGACGGCAGCCAGCGGCCTCCCCTCGCTAGCATCGAGGGAGACCAGACAGAGGCCCTCAACGAGGCACTTCGCAAGCTGCAGTCCGAGTACGACAACTACCGAAACGCCCAAGACGACGTTCGCAAGGACCTCCGCACTCAGGTGGACCGCCTCTCGTCGGAGAAGAACTCAATGCAAACGGAGCGGGTCAAGCTCCAGGGCGACTTGCGTCTCGAGTCTGAGCGGAGAGAGATGCTGCAGACCAACTACGTGGCCCTCCAGGGCGAGAACGTGGAGCTCCAGAAGCGTAGCCAGAGCCTTTCCGAGATGGCGGCCAAGCAGGACATTCGAACCCAGCAGGTCGCCGAAGAGCTCATCGAGGCCAAGGGTCTACTCGACAGCATGCGCAACGAGACCGCCAACCTCAAGGCCGAGAAGAAGCTTTGGAAGGAGATCCAGGACCGAATGAGCAAGGAGAACGAGAACCTGATTGAGGAGAAGAACCGACTCAACAACCTTCTCGCGACGCAGCAGTCTTTGGAGAACGAGCGCAACATTTCCGAGTCCGAAGCGCGTCGCAAGGCGCAGACCAAGATCGAGGCTTTGGAGCGCGACTTGAGCGAGACGCAGCGCAAGCTCTCGAATGAGTCGGAAGAGACCAAGAAGCTGCAGCTGCGCAAGGAGTTTGAAGCCAAGGAGGCCCAGAAGCGAATTGACGAACTCATGGCTAGCTTGAGCCAGATTCGCGAGGACCACGTCGTCGTCAAGACCACCAGAGACCACCTCCAAGCCCGCGTCGATGAGTTGACAGTCGAGCTTCGCAATGCTGAGGAGCGCGTCGGTCGCCTACAGCCACGACCCACTCCCCGGCCCGGTACCACGGACAACGACGAGCGACAGCAGCAGCTCGAGGCCGAGATCCATGAGCTCAACAAAGACATCTCGGATCTGAAGCGCGACCTCGACCTTGCCAAGACGCACCTCGAGAACGCGACAGCCCAGGCGGAGCAGTACAAGGAACTCAGCCGGGAGAACGAGGAGGCGCTGGAGGACCTCCGAGGTTCTCAAGACCAGTACCGCCAGGAGATGGAGACGCTCGTCGGCGAAAAGGACGCCAAGATCAAGGAACTCAGCCAGCGATTGGAAGACGTCTCCGCAGAGTTGTCGCAGACTAACAGTGAGCTGTCGACGCTGCGGGACTCTCAGGGCGAGGTTGCTCGCAAGTATGAGGACGAAAAGACCATTCTCGAGGAGGAGCTCCAGCGACTCAAGAACGACAGCGCCCGACACGTCGAGGCTGCCCGATATCATCAGCAGGACCTGAGGGCGCAGGCCGAGATCGCCTCCAAGGCACAGCAGGACTATGAGCAGGAGCTCGTGAAGCACGCCGAGGCAGCCAAGCTCGTCCAGCAGCTCCGCTCCGAGTACAACGAGCTGAAGAGCCAGACGGCGACCCTCAGAGCCGAGGCGGAGTCGGCCAAGGTTGCCCTGACGCAGAGCGAAAGCTCCTGGGACGAGCGTAGGCAGCAGCTGGAGCAGGAAATGTCCGAGCTCACGGCTCGTCGCGAGGATGTCAACGCCCAGAACAAGCTCCTTCACCAGCAACTGGAGGGCCTCACGGCCCAGGTCGCCGCGTTGCAGCAGAGCCGCGGCGGTAACGAGAACGGCGACGAGGGCATGTCACCAGTCCATGTCGGCGACGCCTTGGAAGGCCTCCGCGAACTCAACAGCTACCTGCGACGCGAAAAGGAGATTCTTGAGGTCCAGTACGACCTCAAGTCCCAGGAATCCAAGCGACTCCAACAGCAGGTCGAGTACGTTCAGTCACAGCTCGACGAGGCACGCCTCAAGCTCGACCAGGAGCGCGTTCAAGCAGCTCAGGGCGGGCGCAACTCCATGGCGCACCAAGACCTCATGGAGAAGCTCAACGAGCTGAACCTGTACCGGGAGAGCAGCGCGGCATTGCGAAACGAGAACGGCCAGCTGAAGGACCAGATTGCCGAGAATACGAGGAAGATTGAGGAGATGGAAGGTAAGGTGCAGCCTCTCGAGGCGGAAATCGACACCTTGACCACGCAAAAGTCGTATCTTGAGGAGGAAATCAAGCAGATCCAAGAGGACCGCGACCGTTGGCAGAAGCGCACCGAGGGTATACTTACCAAGTATGGCCGCGTCGATCCTGCTGAGATGGAGTCGCTCAAGAAGTCGGTCGAGGATCTGCAGAAGGAGCGGGATGCCCTGAAGGAGGGCGAGGGACCGCTGCAAGCCAAGGTCACCGAGCTCGAGTCAACGCTGGAGTCGGAGCGTGAGGCCTGGCAGACGACGCGTGGCAGGCTCACGGAACAGTTCAAGGAGCGGTCTCGGAAGCTCACCAGCGACAAGAACGAAATGGTCGGCAAGGCAAACGACCTCCAGGCACAACTCGACCAAGCCAAGGGAGAGCTCGACGGAGCCCAGAAGCGCGCCGAGGAGGCCACCAACGAGAAGACTTCTCTCGAGCAGCAGGTGCAAAACTTTAAGAGACAGGTCGACGAGCTTCGGCAGCAGGGACAGCAGCCACAGGCGGCGGAGACACAAGCTGGCTCGACAGAAGTGGTCGCTCAGCTCGAACAGCAGCTTGCCGACGCTCGCAAAGAGCTGGAGGCCCTCAACGCGCAGAAGCTGGGCGCCGAGCAGCAACTCGAGAACCTCCGTGCCGAGATGCAGACGGCCATTGCGGAGCGTGACGAGGCCAGACAGAAGCTACAGGAGGCGCCGACACCGATGGACGTCACCGGCACCGAGCAGGCGCCGCCCGCACCTGCCCCGGAGGCTGGGGACCAGAGCCAGAACGGCCCATCAGGCTTGTCTGACGAGGAGAGAACGGCCCTGGAGGAGAAGCTTGCCGCGGCCGAAGCCAAGGCGGCTGAATACGAAGAAAAGGCCAACGAGGTGGAGGCCAAAATTGCGCAGACGGTCAAGGAGCGCTGCGACAAGATGCGCGACACGCTCAACAACAAGCTGAGAGAGAGCCGCACCCAAACGGAGGAGAAGCTCAAGCAGAAGGAAGACGACTTTAAGCTGCGGCTGGAGCAGGAGAAGCGCATCTGGCAGGCCGAAAACCAGGTCAGCCAGCCCGCGAACCAGACACACAACGAGCCACCGGCGACACCGGCCAAGGCCGACGCCCAGCAGCCGCCTGCCACACCCGCCACCGTCAGCGCCGCGGACCTGTCGCAACTTGACGATGCGGGAGTGCGACAGTTCCTGTCCTCCAATCAGACCGCTAAGAGCATCATCACGGCAAACATCAAGAAGCGACTGGAAGCGGAAAGTGCCAAGATCAAGGGTGAGACGGAGGCCAAGGTCCAGTCGGCCCGCGAGCAGGCGCAGCTCATGGAGTCGAAGAAGTCTGCCCTTCGCATCAGCAGGGCCGAGAATAGGCTTAAGACGGCCGAGACGAAGCTCGGTGTTGTGGAGACGGCGGCCACGGAGACGCCCCAGAAGCCCGTCGTCGAAGTATGGGAGGATGTCAAGAAGGTCCAGAGCGGACCCGCGTCTACGCCCGCCGCGGCACCGGGAACACCAGCTAAGCCACCGGCCACTCCTGCTCCGCAGTCGACTCCGGCGGCCAAGCCGGCGGCGACGGCGACGCCAGCTGCAACGACACCGACCGTATCTACCCCAGCGCCAAACACTGCAGCGGAGGCCGAGGCCAAGCCAGCGGCGCCCGCACAACCGACGGGCAGCACTCTGCCGCCAAAGCCGGCGAATCCTTTTGCCGCCTCAACAAGCGGTCCCAAGGCGGAGGCAGCCAATCCGTTTGCCACCAAGACAGAAGGCGTGGTGTCCTCCCAAGCGCCCGGCCAAGCCCCGACGCAGGCTCCTCAAGGCCAGCCCCAACAGCAGGGGCAGGCTCCTAAGTCGGGCATCCCCATGCCTCGCGGCGGCGGTCGCGGACGAGGCGGCGCATACGTGCCGCCGGGACAGCGGACGGCAAGCGGCAACCAGGAGGGCGGCCAGGCACAGCAAGCTGGGCGCGGACGCGGCAGGGGTTTCAACCCAGGAGCAGCCGACTTCCAACCGGGAACGAAGCGCCCGAGAGGTGATGGCGATAGCGCCAGAGGCGCGAAGAGAGCTCGCGGGGCGCACTAGGTCCGCAGCCCGCGGTATTGATTCGGCATCGTGACGGTGTTGGTTGTGCTTTGGGAAGGGGTATGGGGTGTGTACGACGGAGGTGGCCGAGGGGGGATAATCGGGAATGTAAAGTGCTCTGTACTTTTACTCGCTCTGACAAGGAGGCGTGCACGGTGAAGACGGCATAAACCGATGCGTAGCACCAGACTCATGAATTTTCCTTTTGGTTTTACGAAGCTGTCGATGGGTGCCCTACTGTGACTCGTTCCTCCTTGTGTAACAATTTGGCATCGTGGTATGCGTCGCACCAAAATGTTAGCTTCTGAGGCGGCGAGGAATGTCGAGGGAGCCGCGGAAGCAGCAGGATCGCCGTGCTCGTTTGCACATGCACTGCTGTGAGAACCGTTACCCGACAGCTGGCAAGCTAGATGAGGAGAGACGTCAAGTGATAGTGTGTCCCGTCATGCAGGCTACCCTCGATCCGTCTGCCTCGCCCTCAACTACCGGGTCTCGACCCGTACGATTACACCGCGCCTCACAGCACAAGGCCCAAAACGGAATCCCACGTGTGCATGCTCCCGGCGGATCTTCAAGCGACTATTACCAGAGCGGCCCAGCACCCTCTGCCGCTCTTCCGGCTATTGATGCCTAGCTAGCTCCGGAGGAACCGATGTGACGGTGAGAGTCGACTATTAAGCAGAGGAGAGGATAGGAGAGGGCTCTGTCTGGGGTCTGGGAGCTGAGGTCCCGGGCTGACGGGTCCGCGTTGTCCCGGGATGTTAAGACTAGTGCGGTAGGGTCTATCGTGTGACTTCAACGTTTCACATGTAATGGTATTAGTGTTGTAGAGCCGAAGACTTTGGTGTTGTGGCACGGGCAGTTTGCTATCAATAACTGAGAAAGAGCTTCAGCGGTCTGTTGAGAGCTGGACCTGATGAGCGCCGTCCGGTTGAGAGCCATCTTGCGCTTCAAGTTGAGGGCGGCAGATGCAGAGAGTGAAGATCATCATGGGCCACGACCCAGAAGACTCGCTAATAATATTAGAGGCAAGACTAAGCGACGCAACTGATCATGACTGACACCATGACATGGTCAACAAGCTTCTCGGCCCGGTACTAAGGCGGACCGGACCGTCCGAGCGGGTGGCTTCGTCACCGCGGCATTGCCAATAGACGAAGTCGCTATTTGCTCTCCGTGCGACCGGGTCTTCTTCAGCTGGACGGGGCGGGCTGGGCTAGGCGGCCTCCTGTCAGCTCAAGTGACTGACCCTCCGCTGCGCACGCACGGTTCGTGGTTCCTGAGCGGCCTGGGCCGCGCATGAACGGGTCTGGGCCGCCACCAGCACCCCAGCTGAGACGGTGAGAGACCCTGCCGCGCGCTACTTCAGGGGACTAATCAGGCCCAGCCCGTTTCTGACCGCGGCACTGCGTTAGTGATGCGGGAAAGGCGCTAGTTACTGCTCAACGCGGACGGGGGTTCCCAAAGCGGTAGGGGCAACTTTCCGAGTCTAGAATCGAGATGTCTTGAAGAGGGTTGTCGTGTAAGTCTGGACTCAAGGCGTGAGTAGAGAGGCCTGAAGAGTGTTGTCGTGATGCATATAAAGTGCTTGATATCTCGAGTTTCCATCGTCTGATTCAAACCAGATCAGCAGCAAAGAACTTCTCCAGCGACATTGGCACAAGGGTGACTTAATTCGCTGCCCTCTTTTTTCATCTCAAGATGCTTCGTTCAATTGCCACCTTGTACGCCGGCCTCTGCGCTGTCAGAGTTGCGAGCGCGTCGCCAGTCGAGCTCAACGGCCGAGCGGACACTTGCAACCGCGACAACCTGCTGCGATGCTTCGTCGACAAGCGCTACTCTGCCCAGGCGTCGGCGTATTGCGGTCAGCTCACGCCATACACGACGACGGTCGCGACCGTCACTGCCACGACGTGAGTGCCTAACCTTCCCAGTGCCTTCACCCCTTCCCCCATGTTGGTGTTTTGCCATATCGAACTAACAAACATCTCGGACAGGACCACCACCGCGTATGAAAGCTCCGTGGTCAGCACCGAGAGCCAGACTCTCACGTCCACGACCACGGTCTATACCGCCACGGTGCCGTCCGCGACTGTGACGGTCACGCGCGGATATGCGCCGGCTGGAAAGGTCAAGCGTGACGGTGCGCCGGCTCAGCCGCCGAGTTGCGCGACGAGCGGAGCGTATCCCGCGGCTCGCATTACTTCGGCCTGCGCCTGCATTGATGTGCCTGCCAGCACGGTCAGCGTCACATACACTGCCGGAACTGCGACCGTCACCGCTGTATGACTTACCCATCTCTCCAACGCCACATGGCACTCTTGTTTGGCTCGGCGGCAGTGCTGACTATACGATGACTTGCAGACGAGCGTTGTCCCCCTGACTACCACGGCCACCGTGACGGAATGGGTCACCACCTCCACGGCGACCACCAGCGGCGCCGCGACCGTCACCGTCGACCCCCCCACGCCGACCAACCTCATCTCCAACCCGGGCTTCGAGCGCGGCCTCGAGGGCTGGAGCTGGTACAACAACAACCCCAACGGCTGGTCCGGCAGCGTCGTGGGCACCAACGCCGCCGACGGCAGCTACACCAACGCCATGTCCGTCACCAACACGCAGTACCTGGGCTTCGGCGACCTGCGCACGTCGGTGCCCTTCACCCTCGACGCGGGCCGCACCTACCGCTGGAGCTTCCAGACGCGCAACTCGCAGGGCCGCGACCCGGCGGGCAACATCTACGTCTCCATCCAGAGCGACGGCTATGGCGTGGCCAGCAGCAGCGCGACGGGCGGGCAGGCCATCGGCAACGGCTGGTACCAATACCAGGGGACGTTTACCGTCTCGAACTCCCTGGCTGGGCCCAAGGGCGTGTTTGTCCTGGGGGAGACGCGTAGCCAGTCTGCGATTACGTGGTACTTTGATAACTGTGTGGTGATTGCTACGAACTAGTCGTCACTTGTGCATGAAGACGCGGGGCGGTGGTATAATCGGGTTTACTAGAGGAACACGACATGGAACGGGGGGACATGAGGCTGCATTTGGATCGAGCGCTTCCTACATATACACGGTGTCTGGTCTGCGTGCTTTCGTAGTAGATATATACAGCAATGGATATGCCATCCACACTTGAACCTGCCCACATGCATCGTGTCTGAGACTGCAGCTCGACACGTGTGCTCGCCAATCTTTTGGTTGTAGCAGTGACTGGACACTGGGGACTTGCCGCCATGGCAGTGTCCAGTAGACATTGTCTCATTCTCAACGACAATGGTATTGTATCCGCCAAATATACCTTTTTGAGCCTGGGACCCGAGCCGAAGTTGGTGCAAGCATGCGACAATGGTACTGATCAGCCTGCGCCCTGTCGCAGCCAAGCGTGCGGCGCATAGCAGCCAATGCGCCCCAAATCCCGCGGCATCGGTATCCAATGCGTGTCGCTCCGAGGACAATGATCCCTCTGCGCTTGAGCATACTCGTTCTGATCGCCAATGATGTCTGCGGCCTCTTCGACCAAATAGCGCACGTTCTCATCCGGCGGATCGAGGCTCTCGACATCGTCCACCACCACCACGTTCTCCAACACGGCGTCGCCCCACGTCTTCGGATCAGGCCAGGCGCACAGCCGCTTTAGCGACTCGAAGTAGAACAGCAGCATCTGGAAGTCGGGTATTGTCGAAAACTCGCTCTGGCGAGTGGCTCTGTTGAGTCCCTCGTAGCGATATGCGACGTGCTGGAAGGATGACACGACTTCGCGGAACTGCCTGAAGAGATCTTTATCCCGCGGAAAGGCCTTGAGAACGGCTGGAGTCGGTCTTTGTGTGAGGTCCTCGTTTGGCGGTGACGTCGGTTCGTGACTGGAGCTCATGTCGGGGACGTGAACGACCAAGAGCGTGTCCCTTGCCGGGTCGACGCGCACGAGCTTCGACTGGATCCCTGGATGCCAGCGGCCACGATAAACAGGCACCTGCCGGCCGTATGCCGATGAAGTCACGACGCCCCTGGATTCTCGACACGCGAGGCTCAGGCTCTGCAGCTGCATGCCCGATGTCGGGTCCTCGGGCTCGGGAAATGCGTCGCTGGCCGCAAAGTAGCCGTCGGTCATGCAGTCGGAATGATGACAAGGGTCGCCCTCTCTGTACCGTGGGCAGTGGCCGTGGTTGCCGCAGAATCGTCCGCCCAGTGTTAGGCAGCTGTGCGGCGTCGCCTGGACTTGGTGGTAGACGGTGGCTCGAATCATGCGGCCTGCCGTCGCGTTGTCGAGGGCGTGTTGCCATGTCTGGAGGCGCAGCTCCGCTGGAAGAAGTGAGAATGATGTGAACGAAGATCCTGGGACAGCCCGCCCTTGTTCTGCTGACGACTGCATACTACTATACAATGTTTGTTCGTGATTGATGGCAACGATAGGAGCTGGATGAGGCGCTGGGTGAGACTGCGGCCTCCATTGTTTTGTGCCGAGCGCTTGAGGGCTCCGTTCCACTAAAGGGGCCTAGCTTCGGTACTTTCCTAATGGACTCGAGATGGCATCACCAGACCGTGTCGGACTCGGACTCTAAACATCCGGCATGTAAGGCTCGAGCGGGAAACACCATTGTATAGTGCCTTTGTGTTGCCTTTGCCTCGGCAGGGCTGACCTGCTGCCTGCAAGCTGGTAGTGTTTGCGCGCGTAGCACACGATAAACCCGCAGGCAAGTTTCGCGTCGGATCGCCTGAGGGATGGGTTAATAGGTAGGCTGCTCGAGGAGTGAGACTGGGAGTGGGCGTTTGTATCGCGCGCATGAGGCAAGCTCTGATCATGCCGGCCTCGCGCACGGGGCCAAGTCTGAAGCAGAACACACACATGTGATCATTAATTGCCCCCGTACTCCGCACATCAATGATGCACTGCCGAAAACGAGACGCAAAGAGCACAAAAAGGAAATCGCCGCACTTGAATCCACGAACACACGCTAGACGCAAACTCGTACAATCGCAAATACAAGACGAAAAACAACAGTACACCTACCTGCCGCCCCGTGGACGACGAGACTTGACCGCGACGCCACCGCCCGAGCCCCTCCGAGACAGCCCCTTTAGGGCCCCGCGCGCCGGGCCGGCCGCCCGGAGAGGCCCCCACTCTTCCTCCGGCGGCGCGGCAGAGCCGGGAAACCTTGTTCAGCGGTTTCTGTTGGGCCCGTGCGAACGCAGTTTCCGCCACTGACGCTTGGACGACAGCGACGGGCAGGGCAGCTTGCACGCATAGTGGAGAACAACGGACAGAAACGGCTGAAAGAAAAAAGGTCGCTGCTTCCCTCGTTTCGAAACTCACGTGCGGCACAGTAATCTGAGCTCTCTACTTGTACATATTTCCGTTGATGGGCTTGCGCATGTTGGCTGTTTGCTGCGCCGGTTTGTTGATACCCGCGAGTTCTCCTCAGAGTCCTCACACGACAGCGTCATGCCCCGGGCGCGCAAGCCGGCAGCGCCGGAAAGGGGCCGCGCAGCGCGCAGAGACGGTGAGGCACCCGACGATGCTGTCGTCGCAGCAGCAGACGCCGCCGCCCCTTCAGCGGATGGAAGACTGGAGCCGACTCCCCGGATGACGGGCCACCAGTGGTTCTACATCTTCGTGCTCGACGGGCTCGGCGCCATGGCCCTGTCTGGCGGCGTCAACTTTGGCATCGCCTACGGTACGTCCGCTCGCCCCTCTGCCGTCAGTTGGTTGCCATCGCAATCAAAAGTGAAAAAGCATGTCTCAGCCCGCGCTTACACGCATGGTCCCATCTAGCCATGTACACGACTCAGGACACAGAGGAGCGGCCGATACGCCTCTTCGGCTTGCCCAACACGCTCGCCGGCGATGCGGCCGTCACCATCATCGTGCAGTGCATCATCACCTGGTTCGTCGAGTGGGCGCTCGTCGCGCACGACTTGAAGCATCGCTCCGTCCACCCCATCGGCTGGGTTTCCATCCCGTCATCGTCGTCTCGGTGGCAGCGGCTGGTGCGGTGGTGGTTCTTCCTGCCCCTTACGGGCAGCGCCGGCGACGAGGTGAACGGGTCCGATGCGTCAACGCCACGGCCGGACGAGGTGGTGGAGCGCGTGCGCGTCAACTCGCCTGTCGCCGTCTTCCAACAGGCGCTGCGGGGCTTCCTGCTCGCGGTGCCGAGCTTCCTCGTCCTGTGGCCCATATCGGTGGGCGCGCTGACGGCGGTAGGGCGCAAGGAGGGCGCGGACTGGGTGTACGCGGATAGGTGGGCGCCCCAGGTGTTCAAGCTTGTGCTCGGCGGAGTGCTGGGGCTGTTGACGACGCCGTTGATGGCCATGTTCTGGCTGGTGCGAGCGGGATGGGAGGCGGAAGGCGGGCGCTGAGCGTCTTGAAGCAAGCAGCGTTGTGCTTGAGGCAGGATGCTGCAGTTGCGGCCTGTTTGGGTGGCGTCGGCCGACACGAGAGTTACGACTTGGGATGACTGACACCTTGGTGCTGCAATGGCACCGTTTCCTTCGGGGAGGCACCTAATATTGGGGGCAAGAGACAGACGGATAGACGACTTGCATGAATAGACGATATTCGCAAACAATTGCATGTGTCTGACCAGGCCGAGCCAGCTGTGAGATGGGGCGATGCAATCACACGCCAGCATCTAAAGGACATGGAAGAACTCACGAAGCTGCCACAGATGGTTGACGAATGACATTCTGTTGGATGAGAAGAGTTCCTCGGCGCTGTGCAACATGGTAATAAGAGCCATTTGATCAGATAACCAGCCGGTGCGTCCGCGACGGCAATTCACTGCAATGCTCCCTTCTGAGGGTCCAACGCAGGCGGGCGTCACGCGTACGCAATCATTGTCGTCCGACGAGTCCGATTGATATGCCGGCGACCGATTCGTATGTGCCGATGTCCGGCGTGCCGATGTCCAGGCCCCGCGTCGGTGCCACCACAGGCCCGCATGCCGCGCCGTTGCATCGGCCACTACCCGATTGGCACCCTCCGTCATGACGCACCGTGCTGTTTGGTTGTACCACAAGTCGAGCCTCACCGGTGCCAGCGGCGCGCCGGGTACCATACCCACTGGGCCACTGGCGCCGGGTCCATCCCCAGCGGGCAGCCGATTTCATCTCATTGATGAGGCATCGGAGGAAAGCGGAGAGGTCCCGAGAGCGGGATGGAAGGGAGCATTAGAGACTACCATTCCCATTGCATTGTATTCATTAAAAGACCAAGAAATAGATGAGAGTGTCTGCAAGTCAGCCTCGGATTCTGCAGCCCGACGGCTTCCTGCGCCGAAACAGTGGCCCGTGGGGGGAAGAAGGCGCATGGAGATGCACTGTCGGAGGGATATGCTTCCCAACTGCGTCGTCGCTGTAGGTCAAACGACGCCACTGTGGAGTTGGATCAGCGTCATCTCACCTGCCGGAACAAGTCAAGCCAGGGTCCTGCGCCCTGCTGTTTGTTCTGCCGTTGCCCCGTTGAGGGCACCGCCGGCCGGGGGAGGGGGGAGGGCGGAAGATACAGATGCAACAACGGCGGAACTTATGATGGATGATGCCGTCCGTGCTGTGCCCGGTTTGTATTTATATATATAATGAACAGCGTCCGGCCATAAGCAAACGCTGGAACCGCGCCCCCCTTCTCCGTCGTCGACTGGCATTGCTCGCTTGCTTTGCTTGTAATACTGACAGAAGCCCGCTGTGGAACCTCGTACTTCTTGGCTGGCAGTTGACGTGCGAGAACCGCACGCTTGGCATCACCATGACCGTCGTCCGAGGAGGCCCCCTCGCAGCATTTGCTGCTGCGCTCCTCTGCATCGGCCCGGCGACGGCGCTCCACGCCCCCGGGCTGCTTCGCGTCCTCGCGCCCGCCGCAGGAGCAGCAGACTCGTCAGTCCCAGCGCCGCCCGCCGACTCGCGCATCAAGGCGTACAACCTCTCGGTGCCGGTGGACCACTTCCACAACTCGTCGCGGTACGAGCCGCACTCCAACGCCACCTTCCCCCTGCGCTACTGGCTCGACACGTCCAACTACAGGCCCGGCGGGCCCGTCGTCGTGCTCAACTCGGGCGAGTTCACGAGCGAGGGCCGCTTCGACTTCCTCGACCACGGCATCGTCCCCATCCTGACCAAGGCGACGGGCGGCGTCGGCGTCGTCCTCGAGCACCGCTACTACGGCACCAGCTACCCGACCGAGGACGTGACTGTTGAGAACCTGCGCTTCCTCAGCACCGAGCAGGCCCTCGCCGACAATGCCTACTTTGCGCGCCACGTGCGGTTCCCGGGCCTCGAGCACGTCAACCTCACCGCCCCCGGCACGCCCTGGATCATCTACGGCGGGTCGTACGCCGGCGCCGTCGCCGCCTTCACGCGCAAGGTCTACCCGGACGTGTACTGGGGCGCCATCTCCTCGTCGGGCGTCACCGCCGCCGTCGACGTCTTCTGGCAGTACTTTGAGGCGGCGCGGCACTACGCGCCCGGCGACTGCTCGCCCACGCAGCAGAAGCTCATGCACGTCGTCGACAGCATGCTGCTCAGCGGGGACGACGCCCAGGTGGACAAGGTCAAGGACTTCTTTGGCCTCAAGGAGCTCTGGAACGACGAGTTCGCCGCGTACCTGACGGGCGGCGTGAGCGGCCTGCAGTCCACCAACTGGGACCCTGCCGAGGACGATGCGTCGTTTGGCAAGTGGTGCGCGACCATCACCTCGAACAGCCTCCTCTTCGAGAGCACGGCGTTTTTGAGGCCCGAGGTGGAAAAGGCCGTCGGCGGTGCTGGGTACAAGGGCCATGAGCTCAAGACGCTCACGACCAGGATGCTCAACTACATTGGCTTCGTCAAGGACTCGGTGAAGCAGACCAAGAGCTCCTGCAAGGGCCAGAGCCTCCGCGAGTGCGTGTCTGACCGGTTCTACACCAACGACACCAGCATCGCCGCCGGGGAGTACCGCAGCTGGCTGTACCAGACCTGCACCGAGTACGTCTTATTCTCGCTCACATTATTTCTCGTGATGGCCCTTCAGTTTACTGACCCACGTTGCCTAGATGGGGTTACTTCAACTCCGGCGCCGCCACGCCCAAGAACAAGCTCTCCATGATCTCGCGCGCCCTGACGTACGAGTACTCCACCACCAGCTGCCGCCGCCTCTTCAACATCACGGCGCACCCGGACGTCGACGCCGTCAACAAGTACGGCGGCTTCAACTTCAGCTACCCGCGCGTGGCGCTCATCAACGGCGCGCAGGACCCCTGGCGCGCGGCCACCGGCCACGCCATCGGCCGGCCCGGCCGGCAGTCCACCACGGAGGAGCCCTTTATCCTCGTGGACTGGGCGGTGCACCACTGGGACGAGAACGGGCTCAAGGACCCGGCCCAGGCGCGTCCCGGGTTCCCGCCCAAGCAAATTGTCGATGTGCAGGCCGAGGAGGTGCGCTTCGTCAAGGCGTGGTTGCAGGAGTTTGACAAGAAGCAGAAAAGGGGTGCGGGTGCGGGTGCGAGTGCGAGTGCGACGGGCGAGCTGTAGCATGTGCTTTGCGGAGGCGCGATGTGAATATCCATCATTAGACAGCCTGACGTTCTGCTGTTGCTGTTGTTGTTGTTGTTGTTGTTTCTCAGAATGACATGACCCGTTAATGAAGCGTTTCTTTCGTGAGCGCTCCCAAGGTAGTTACCAGTCCAGCATCCGCCGCCGCGTGCAGTCGCTGCACCCCTTGCATTGCTACGCGATCATCCGCCGCAGCCCGTCGATGAGCTTGCGCAGCCACTCCTGGGACACGTCGAGATCCGGGCACGACGCCCAGAAGCCGTGCGGCAGGCCGGGGTACACGTCGACTTTGGTGCCGAGGCCGGCTTCCTCCAGCAGTTGTCCGAACAGCAGCGCCTCGTCGCGGCGCGGGTCCAGGCCGCAGACGGCAAAGTACGCCTTGTCGGCGATGTTGGCGTGCGAGTCGAAGAGCAGCGGGGAGAGGCGCTTGTCCTCGGGCGGAGCGCCGTATTTGGCTGTGCGTGTTTTGTCAGTTGGATGATCATCGTCCTGATCTGCGTGAACGGCGACAAAAACTCAATGGATGTGACGCACCCGCGTAGTAGTCAATCGACTTCCTCGTCAACCCAGGCGCGACCGTGATTTCGTCCACGCTGAGGATCCGATCGAGGTACTTCTCCGGCCGGGCGTCGGGGTGACAGAAGCTCCCTGCGAGGAACACCAACCCGGTGATGCGCGGAGTCAGGGCTTCTTGCAGCGCCAGGTGCGCGATGCCCGCGGCGAAGTTGGCGCCCGCAGAGGTGCCGCCGAGGATGAAGCCCTTGGCGAGGTCGGCGCGGAGCCTCTCTTGTCCCTCGGGAGAAGCGACCTAGTGTTGATGCCCGCGTCAGTTGAAAGCTCGATCATGAACTGGAGTACATGTCTGGTATCGTGGGGACTAAAGGCAAAGTTAAACCTACCCACCGCACCACGTCGAAGCAGTCCTCAAAGCCAACAGGAAACTGATACTCCGGCGCGAGCCGATACTCGACATTGACGACGACAAGGTCCAGCGCCCCAGCGATGGCGCGGCACGGCGCATCGTCCGTCTCGAGGCTGCCAGTGACGAACCCGCCGCCGTGCATGTACACCAACGCGGGGAGGCGTCTGTTCGCGCTCGCGGCTTGTCGGTACGTGCGCAGAGTGGTGGTCGTGCCGTCGCGCAGCGGGACGTCGAACTCGACAATGTCGAGGCCCGGCTGGGGGACGATGGGCCTGCGCTCGCGGGTCATGCCGCGGATGATGATGCCTTCGGGGAGGTTCTTGGGGAACTGAATTGAACCGTTGCCACGTGTAAGCAAGCAGTCAATTGGCCTGGTGTTGCGACTTACGTCGACAAAGTAGGGGTGGCAGGTTGCCAGATGCCTGTGCTCAGCCATTATGAGTGCGTGCGTGCGTGCGTGAGTTTGTTTGTATATCTTCGTTGGGCGGTTTTCGGTGGGATGAAAATGGGTTTTGTCTTGGGCACTCAGGCGTTCGGAGAGTGATGCCGGCGGAGGATTGACCAGTGTGCATGTGGACGCCGGTGGTGCCATTGTTGGCATAAATATCACTCAAACAACAATTGGCTAGCTCCGCTCAGGGGGTTTTAGATAGCCCGTTCGTACATCCGATCGTCGGATTATTAGCGGGTTCCGTGCAGCCAGGCCGGGGCATGTTCGTGATGGAGCCAGCACGGGTACTGACGGATTGATCTGATCTGATAATCTTATCAGATGGGGTCCCAAGTCCACATCCGACGCTGGTGGCCCACATCGGGCTCCTTCATGCTCCGAAATCATCCCTCGGCCGGCTGAACGGCTATGTTAGACTGCCTCGCACTTGGCTTCCCTTTCTGGCACCAAATCTGTAAATACGAATGTCCCATGCCACTCGCAGACGCATACTGGCCATCCTTTAACGAACTGTACTGGCCACCATCATGAAATACAGAGGCCATTGCACTTCATGTCCCGTTCACAGGTCACCAATCACAAGTCACCAGCCAATCATCGAGACAAATTGCAAGCGGGGGCGCAGTATATTGTCAAGCCCTTCCCTTCACGTCCGGTTTCTAATGAAGCGAGAAGAGGCCGCGGAATTCAGTTGCCATACTGCCCACCTCTGTTTCAAGTGTCAAGTGAGTGAGAGGTCACGGACCGACCCCGTGACGGTTAAGAAAAAAGCAGTGAAGCCAGCGATGGTCACAATCCACGACGGACGAGTGACCCCCATTGCTCAAGCGTGCGACTTCCTGAGCACGTTCTGTCCAGCCCAGAACTTAGGCATACGGCTTCGCCTTGGTGGGGTAACTGAACACAGGGTCCGTGTACGTCCCGTCCACATTGTGGGTGATGGTGGCCACGGTTTGACCCGGCTTGGCCGTGGTGAAGTCGATCGTAGAGACGACACCAATCGAGGTGATGTCGACGGCAGTGCCCGCGGCGTAGTCTCCGGTTCCGACGTAGTACGTGACCTTGGGCGTCAGATCGTAGTTCAAGCTGGGCTTGGCTCGCCAAACAGCCACGGGGACGACGTCGCCCTTCCCATTGAGCTTGCCGTATCCGCAGTAGGCCGTGTCTGAAAAAGAGCCTCTGTGTTAGTGAGAACCAACTCATCCGATCGCTTGGGGAGGCAGCCGCATACCGTACTGGTTAGGGTCGAATGCCTTGGTCTGGATGCCAAACGAGTTGTCCTTGTTGGTGGACCCAAAGGGCGCAACGAACTGCGGACCGTCGTTGACAATGGCCATGACGGGCGCAGTGCCAGGCTTGGTGTTGCTGGTCAGCTCCACGGCGGCATAGTCGCTCGTGGAGACCACCACGCCATAGTCTACGGGCTTCGGGGTCGTGCCGCAGATGGCAAAGTTGGCGACCTTGACGTCGAACTCGGCGCGGCCGTTGGGGGAGGGCACGCCCGGAGAGCGGATCCAGACATTGTTGTAGATCTTGCCCACGGAGGCTGACGGGTCGGGGATTTCGTTGAAGAACAAGTAGTTGCGCGTCTCTTCGGACTTGTTGAGAACCTTGACAATGTACTCGGCGGTGGCCATTGTGAAGCTTGCGGAGAGGCTGCTGAGTGACGAGTGCTGAGAGTTGAGGGCTGCTGGAGGTCGAAGAAGCTGGTGATGCTACAGACTGGAGAGAGGATATTGATGCTTCGCGCCTGGGGAGTCTATGCCTTTTATGCTCCGCTCGAAACACAGTAGAGGCATGTTGACTCTGCTGTGTCCGCCCTTCAACTACCTCGAGAGAGAAAGGCCTCATGGTTGGCCTGTTTGTTGTCCCGTCAGCTCCCGCAGTGAGGTGCGCGATGAGACAGAGGCGCCAAGGTACAGCCACCGCGCCGTGATGCTTTTGTGAGAAGCGCCGTGTGCCATGTTGCACGACAGCAACCCAGCGCCCCTCGCAACCAATGTCCGGGGAAGATAACACCCTCCTCTGGTGAAACCCAGCCGCCTCGCAAGGGCAAGAGTTGCTGGGCTCTTCGAAACCTATTGAGACTCTGCCCCACTTGTTCGCGGGCGGCTGCCCCCAAGTTGCCCAGCTGCATAGTGCATACTACATACGTACATAGTACATACTGCATCGAGGCCAGCTGAAGGCCGTTTTCGGAGACCAAGCCCTGTCTGGGCATATGCGCGATGTAACTCGTGCGACGTCGACGTGTATAGCAGCGCGGCCGACAAGGCACACGCATTGCAGCAACTGAGCACGCATAGGCACCTCTGAGACCTCAAAATCCTACGAGGCGGTCTGCTTGGCCGTATTTGGATACGAAAATCGAGCCGTGGCACGCTGAAGACCTGCGGCACGGCCCGTGCTGTCGCAGAGTCGACGGCATGAAGGCGGTTATCAGGCACCGACGGGCATCTCGATTGAAGCGTTGTGAAACATTGACGTCTGCGTGGTGGCCGAGAGCGGCTGTACAGCTTGCCACCTTGTGACGGAACGGGCGATATTGCCTCGATTTATTGCTACTCAATGTCGATTTCTGACAGGACATGACTTGGGCTTCTCGAAACATGGCGCCGGATCGGGCTTCTGGTGCAGCGTGGTGGCCGCGCTCTTTGCTAATGATCGCCATAGACTCGGCGGCTATGCTCTCTAATGCCGACCTCAGGTTGACTCCATCATTGCGAACGCGCTCTTTGGAGCCGACTCAGCAAGATGCGCGTGCAAGCTACCTGGCGGTGGCGTCTTGTTGTGGGACATCTTCGTCAACGTGCAGGTAGCCGGCACCTGTGACTACCCCTGTACTGGCAGCAGGACGGCTCGGCAAGTCCGTAGGCCCGGCAAATGCTCTTCCGCTAATGTCCCTGACCCCGTATCTCTATTCATGACACGACTGGAGAGCAATGGCGCCGCGGGCTGCAGAGAGGCTGCATTTGATGTTGTGCGTGCTGAAGATCAAAGGCCCGACCTGAGGCCTGGAGTCCAGCAGATGCTTTCTGTTACATAACATGATGGCTATGACTGGGCTCGGGAGCATATGTCGTGATTTAGATGCACAGCGCGTCGGTTGGCTTGGGCTGATATGTGATTGAGGACAGACATGCGGCATGCAGTCGGCTGAGATATGTGGATGATGACGTTTGGTCCTCGTTTGTAGCTTTGCCCGCGAGGATGTGTGCTAGCGGTACGAGCCTTTGCGGCGACCAAGCCCCTCGAGCGTAGACTTCCAATAGCGAATGACTTACATCGACTTCATCGTTACACTGTTCACACGCCGTGATAGGCGCGATTGTGAGTGAGGGTGTTAAGGCCGGGCGACTAGCTCACAAGACAAGTCCAAGCATGGGTACAGCAAGTCGGAGATTTTCGTGACTCTCCCGTGCAACAGTTCAAGTGGTATCGTGTCTGAGTCCAGGCATTCCGTGTCAAGTACCCGCCTCGCCGAGTGGCGGCTACGATTGACCGATCACATGCAAAGACGGGCTCAAGATATGAGGCAGTTCGATGGCACTTACGACACACCACTTCACACGGGGTGGCTCTCTCAACATGAGCATGTAACAACGTAGAATAATGGTGAAGGGGCTGCAGAAAACCGTCCTGCCGACTGGAGGGTGGCGCCTACCCCTTGGTAGGTTTGAACTCGTAACCAACGCATCCAATCTGAAAATTGCCGCCTACTCCACCGTTGTTGCCTGAAGACTGGAGTCAGTGTATGAAACCGTTTGTATGGCAGCGTCGTATGGACGTACAGTTCAGATAGTTCCGTCTCAGGATTCCCGCACAGGTCCAGTTCGGATTGTCTCGTATAGGCTGCCAGGCGTCAAACTCGGTGACACTCGATTCACAACCGGGCTTCCAGTAGACGAAGTAGAAATAATCTGCCCCCTGATACTCCGTATGCAATCGAAGAGCTGATGAATCGTCGTTCTTACGTATCATATGGTTTACGGAGTAGTAGCAAGCGTCCCAAGAATATTGCAGTTGAGCGGCGCTTTGGATGTCTGGGTGAGAGCCAAAGGCGTCCGGAGCAAAGCAGAACTGAGGCCCAATGTAGTTGGGATCGACGTAGTACCTCTTTTGGAGGGCGTTGTCGTGGCTCCCATTGTTGTGAGGCGCAGCGGAGTCTGATGGCGTAGTAGCACACTCATCGGCAGAGAGAGGAACGGGCGTCTCCCCTGATATGCCTATATTGCGTCAGCCTACTTGGGTGGACTGGCCGCTTACGAAACAACGCAATGGAGTAAAGATGTACTCACTCCCGCCCTTAATACACGCAGCTGCGTGGGCAGCCGGTGCCAGAAGGAAGCTCACTAAGAATGCTAAGACATGCATGTTGCCCTGCGCGACTTGTCGCGATGAGGAATATATGAGGGGGCACAAGGAGCCACGTACACATATTTATACTGTCTTCTGTTCGCAATGGATTCCTCTTCCTGGCTTGTCCGACAGTTGAATACAGTGACTGAACAAATTGCCTGAATGATCGTGGAAGTCCCTGCATGTAATCCTCTGCATACAAGAGAACTTTTGTAGTCGGCGATTTCCACATTGTTTCTAGTGTACGGCTATACGGATTGCTTTACTCTACATCACTGGTCGAGAAGAAGTGAAATTGAGCTGCTCCTTTCGAGGGTGCTGCTATATAGTTCAGCTGCATGCGCAAGGGGATGCTGCACGTTGTGCGGGGCCCTCAGTTCTGGTCTCGTAGCTCTCGGTGCAACGACCTTGCCGACGAACCCGGCGGACGTATCTTTAGGATGAACTCGCTTGACCTCGCAGGTCATCGTGTACAAGTCAGAAGGGGAGCCATGGCAATGTCCAGCACCTTCTAGGATCGCGTTCTGTAAGGTGACGACCGCTGTTCGGGACAGGCCGTTCACGGTTCCTGCCCCAGCCAATTTATCCTGACTTTAAGCACCGTGCAGTCTGATTTCTACTGTGTATGGTTGCCGACTCAGTACTTGAGTTGGTCCAGATGACGAGAGTGTCGTTTCTGGGCCTTGTGCGTCAATGGTCGATGGATTTAGCACAGTTGGCGAGAAGGCGGGCACCTTCAAAGCAGCCCTGGCGCAGATCAAGTTAAATTGCGACACTTGCAGGGACAAGCTGGCGCCTAGCCTGTAAAGGCAGCAACGAGCATCTACTGGCGGCGTTCCCGCGCCCAGTCCGGACTTTGAAGAACTGATTGAGAACAGCGCCAACTTCAGCGAGGCAGGCTTTGTGGTAAGGACGGCTGCTTCAATGTAGATAAAACCACAGCCTTGACGTCAGATTGCTCGGCAACGGCTCATCCGCAACACGACAACGCGTATCAGCACGCGTCCATTGTTCGGGTTGTGGAAACGGGAGCTAGCGCAACGGCCGGCCGCCGTGATTCGCGAAGCTGCGGTCGGACGGCTGGGGGCCGTCTCACTTCGACTACGCCCGCACACCCGCAACTTGACGGGGGAAATTAGACCAAGGAACTAGCGATGGCAACCCGGTCGCAGCCGGGCCCCCAATCCTCGCTCCTGGACCTGTCGATCTTGCTCTCTCCTGTCAGAAAACCTCGACCAGGGGGCCGGACAAGCAACCAAGCAACGAGGTCGACCGACGACGACGACGTGGCCCGGCCTGAGCCGCTGTCAACTGCACGGGACTGCGACAGCGACAGCTCACGTCACAGGGCGCACGCCGTTGAATACAAGCCAGCCCCCGTTGGAGTTACACGGCGCGAGAATTCTGCGCATCGCCAATTGTGCTCCCGGCGGTCCTGCAAATGGCCCGCCAGGGGGTGCTGGCCGTGCCAGACCCTCACCTCGATCACCACAACCAACAACAACAGCAGCAACACGTCGAATTCCAATCAACGACGTCCGTGATCCCTGCGCGGGGTTCCGGCACCAACGGCGGCGGCAGCGGCACGAATGTAGCGTCTTCGACCGGTGACGACAAGTCAATCCAGCCCGAAAAGTACACCTTTTATCGCGAGGGCACGCCGCCGCCCCTGATTGATGACGATGACCGCGACCGACGAGGATTCGGGCTCTACGGCCACGAAGGGCGAGGGGCTGCCGCCGGCGCGTACGAGTACGACTACACGTACGACCGCGTGGCTCCGCCGGCGCCGATACCCGTAGCGACGATATGCGGCATTCGACGACGCACCTTCTGGATCGTGGTTGCCGTCGCCGCGCTCCTTGTCGTCATCGGCGTGGGCGTTGGCGCGGGCGTCGGCGTCGGTGCTGGTGGGAGCAAGAACAAGTCGCCGTCAAGTAGCGCATCGTCTACGACAAGGTACGAGACGTCCCTTTCCTTGTCATCATCATCTCGACCTGTTGACTGACCAATCTCTTCAGCTCTTCGACACCCAGCTCCACGGCGACTTCCGCGACGACCGCCTCCGCGACCCCGTTCCTCGCCTGCCCGGCCGCCAACAACACCAAGTACACGGTCCCGCGAACGAAAAAGACATTCTTGCGTGTCTGCGGCATAGACTACAGCGGCGCAGGCCAGGCCGTCGACCTGGGCAACGTCTGGACGTCGGGCATGCAGGAGTGCATGGCCAGCTGCGCGGGCCTCCCCAAGTGCACCGGCTGCAGCTGGGGCGTTATTG